ACTCGCCCGGCCATGGTGACCTGAGAGACACTCGCCAGGTCGCCCGGCCATGGTGACCTGAGAGACACTCGCCCGGCCATGGTGACCTGAGAGACACTCGCCCGGCCATGGTGACCTGAGAGACACTCACCAGGTCATGGTGACCTGAGAGACACTCGCCCGGCCACCTGAGAGACACTCATGGTGACCTGAGAGACACTCGTCATGGTGACCTGAGAGACACTCGCCCGGCCATGGTGACCTGAGAGACACCAGGTCATGGTGACCTGAGAGACACTCACCAGGTCATGGTGACCTGAGAGACACTCATGGTGACCTGAGAGACACTCGCCCGGCCATGGTGACCTGAGGACACTCGCCCGGCCATGGTGACCTGAGAGACACTCACCAGGTCATGGTGACCTGAGAGACACTCGCCCGGCCATGGTGACCTGAGAGTGAGAGACACTCGCCCGGCCATGGTGACCTGAGAGACACTCACCAGGTCATGGTGACCTGAGAGACACTCACCCGGCCATGGTGACCTGAGAGACACTCGCCCGGCCATGGTGACCTGAGAGACACTCGCCCGGCCATGGTGACCTGAGAGACACTCGCCCGGCCATGGTGACCTGAGAGACACTCGCCCGGCCATGGTGACCTGAGAGACACTCGCCCGGCCATGGTGACCTGAGAGACACTCACCAGGTCATGGCGACCTGAGAGACACTCACCAGGTCATGGTGACCTGAGAGACACTCACCAGGTCATGGTGACCTGAGAGACACTCACCAGGTCATGGTGACCTGAGAGACACTCACCAGGTCATGGTGACCTGAGAGACACTCACCAGGTCATGGTGACCTGAGAGACACTCATGGTGACCAGAGTCGCCCGGCCATGGTGACCTGAGACACTGACATGGTGACCTGAGAGACACTCACCAGGTCATGGTGACCTGAGAGACACTCACCCGGTCATGGTGACCTGAGAGACACTCACCCGGTCATGGTGACCCGAGAGACACTCACCCGGTCATGGTGACCTGAGAGACACTCACCCGGTCATGGTGACCTGAGAGACACTCACCCGGTCATGGTGACCTGAGAGACACTCACCAGGTCATGGTGACCTGGACTATCATAATTATTCTTAGAAGTGCCACGTGATGTAAAATAAACATGCAGGAATATACAGTAGCGAGAGTTGTAGGTCAGGTGGAGGAGGTGGGGGTCAGGTGGAGGAGGTGGGGGTCAGTTGGGTGTGGGGGTCAGCTGGAGGAGGTGGGGGTCGTGGGGGTCAGCTGGAAGTAGAAGTCGTGGAGGTCTTAGGGTCAGCTTCAAGCGGAGGTCGAGGTGGGAGTAGAAGACTCACCGATGAACACAATAGACAGAACCACGAAGAAAGTCGCAACGACCTTCATATTGCTGCTGTTGTTGCTGCTGCTGTGACCGCTGTTACTACTACTGCTGCTGTTGGTGCTGCAATTGCCGCTGCTGGCGTTGTGTTCTTCCAGCCGCCTCTACTGAGAGTTGTAGGATTTATTTATAAAGTGATTTGCTATAACAGGAGCCAGTCACCGTAACAGCCAAGTCAATTACAATTAACACAATAAAATGAACTTATTATTCTTAGAAATTATGGCGGAAAAAAAAATCATGAAAATTAACGTGATGAAAAATGTGACAGTGTCAGACCACTAACAGTGTTTTGACAGGAATAACAACAGACAGACCCCCGACAGTGTTTCATTCCTGCCTTCGTGGTCTGTCACAGGGCCTAGGAGTGACAGGAGGCGGGACCCACAGCGTGACAGCATGCATAATTAAGAGTGAAAGGCGGCAAGATTCACGCTGACAGGAGAGACAACTCACAATGTGACACGCTGGACTTTTAGTGTGATAGTAAGCAGGACTCAGTGTTTGACAGGTAGTAATACTCGGTTACAGGAAACAGGACTGGCAATATGACAGGAAGCAAGACTCACATCGTGACAGGAGGATTAACAGTTTGACAGGAGGCAAGACTTAGTGTGATATGAAACAAGATTTTCACACGTAATGCAAAGCTCATTGAGTGAGATGAGGCTGGACCCACAGACTGGGAGGATGTGGTACTCAGAGTGTAAGGAAGCAGGGCTCACAGTGACAGGACCCACAGAGTGAAAGGACTCAGTGTCAGGAGGCAGGACTCACAGAGTGACGGGGGAGGTCCGGCGGGGCGGCGTAGACTTCTGGCTTCTCCTGACCCGTTACTCCTCCACCGACGCCTTGACACCAAGTAATGTTGTGTCGCTCGCGCCACCACGCGCCCCGCCCTCCCTCCACCCTGTGTTACCCACCCTGTCCTCCCTCCACCCTGTTACCCACCCTGTCCTCCACCCTGTGTTGGCCCACCCTGTCCTCCACCCTGTGTTACCCACCCTGTCCTCCACCCTGTGTTACCCACCCTGTCCTCCACCCTGTGTTGGCCCACCCTGTCCTCCACCCTGTGTTACCCACCCTGTCCTCCACTCTGTTATGCACAGCGCTAACTCAACAAGACTGGTTCTTGGAGTACTTAGGTTTAAATGACATCAAATATATGTCCCGATCTTTTTCATGGGATTGTCTTTTTGTATTTTATGATAATCTATAAATCAGAACAATAGGTGTTTAGTGTTCGTGTTTTGGAACGGTCAAATTCTAGCATATTTACTGGACATTTTGTCAGGGCTCCTCGTGTGATAAATATGTTTCGAACGGCTGTCTGTTCTACGTTTAATATATAAGCTTGAATAATTTCGTAAATTGTTTTGTAGTCATTTGAATGTTAATTTAAGTTTTAGGCACCTTACTGTAGACTAATGTCATCTGAAGGCGTTCAGAGAATTATGATAGTTAATCTCCGGAATTCCAGACCTCTTATAAGAGATAAAGAAGCATGATTTACAGTCTCCAGTGAGGCGAAGTGGCAGGAATGACATGATTGAAGAATACAACTGGAGGAAACGGTATAATAAAGGGAATAATAATAATAAAGGGGTAAATATATAAAAACAAAACAGAACAGGAAACAATGGATACAAATTGGATAAGTTTACATTCAATTTACCGGTTGGATATTGGGATTATGAAAGCTAGCGGATACTATAAAGGAAGTAGGATCGCTGGATTATTTTTATCGTATGTTAAGTATATAAAGTATACGTGGGAGTTTGAATGGATATTTATATAGGCATTTTAATGTTCCCTTCATTATCATGTTCTTAATACTACTCCCTCTGTTGATACGCCTACAGCCCTACATGGAACCTTAACACGTGTTCGTCACGAGGTGACGTGTGTGTCCGCGTGTGTTGGTGATCGTTAGTTACCACGGTGTTGTTAACGAAACTTAGAACCGGTTAGGCTGATATTGATCTGTTGACCGTCGTAGCCCGGGACGACACTGTATCAGGACCCAAGAACACCGTGCTGAACTGGGGCGTAGAAGGGACGGGGAGGGGACGGGGAGGGACAGAGACATGGAAGAGAAGTGGAAGAGTGAGAGCTTAGGAAGGGATTGCAACTGTGTGCGAATGTGAACAAAGAGTCAAGGGATAATGGCAATGGAGGGAAGGGAGAAGAGTTGACGTGGGGTGATGATTAGTGATGATTAGCCAGAGGGGAAAGGAACTATCAGGAGAAAGCACCAAGCCATTACAACTATATATCAGAGGGAGTGAGCGACACGTGTGATAGAATAGCGTAGAGATGAGTAATGGGAAGTAAAAGTAAAGTGTTCTGAATGATTAAGAGTGGGCGGGAGTTCTGATTGGGTTAAAGAGGGGCGAGACAGGTGGGGTGGGGGTTGGGGTGGGGGTTGGGGTGGGGGGTTAGTAGGAGACAGTGACTGTAGAATGTTTTGTTAGGAGGAAGACTAGTGAAGATTCTGTTAGTATTATGTGTGTATGTATGCTCTGATGGTGGTGATGTGTGTGTGTATGCTCTGATGGTGGTGATGTGTGTGTGTATGCTCTGATGGTGGTGATGTGTGTGTGTATGCTCTGATGGTGGTGATGTGTGTATGTATGCTCTGATGGTGGTGATGTGTGTGTGTATGCACTAATGGTGGTGATGTGTGTGTGTATGCTCTGATGGTGGTGATGTGTGTATGTATGCTCTGATGGTGGTGATGTGTGTGTGTATGCTCTGATGGTGGTGATGTGTGTGTGTGTATGCTCTGATAGTGATGGTGTGTGTGTATGTATGCTCTGATAGTGATGTGTGTATGCTCTGATAGTGATGGTGTGTGTGTATGTATGCTCTGATAGTGATGTTGTGTGTGTATGTATGCTCTGATGGTGGTGATGTGTGTATGTATGCTCTGATAGTGATGATGTGTGTGTGTATGTATGCTCTGATGGTGGTGATGTGTGTATGTATGCTCTGATAGTGATGTTGTGTGTGTGTATGTATGCTCTGATAGTGATGGTGTGTGTGATATTCCAATCCATCCTTCTGTTTAGATAGAGATGTTTGTGTTTACTTTGTTAGTAATGTAGTGTGTGTATTTTGATAATTATGTTAGTGTGTGTGTGTGCCCTGAGAGTGAGATTAGTGTATTTACTATTTGTATTCACTAACTGTGTCTGCAGGATTGAGCTTTCGGCTCTTGGACGCCGCCTTTCTAACGTTGGTTGTATAATGTACTGATTCCTGACCAATTTTTCCTCATATTTACAACATATTTCCCTCTCACACACACACATCCCCCAGGATGCAGCCAGTAGCAGCTGTCTAACTTCTAGGTGCCTATTTATTCCTAGGTGAGCAGAGGAATCAAGTGAAAGAAACTATACTCATTTGTTGCTTTCTCGACCTGAAATCAAACCCGGGTCAACAGGGGTACAAACCCAAGTTCGAATTCAGGGACGAGGCGGATAACACAGGGTGGAAGACAGGGTGGGCAACTCAGGGTGGAAGAAGGGGTGGGTAACACAGGGTGGAGGACAGGGTGGGCAACACAGGGTGGAGGGAGGGTGGGGCGCGTGGTGGCGCGAGCGACACAACATTACTTGGTGTCAAGGCGTCGGTGGAGGAGTAACGGGTCAGGAGGAGCCAGAAGTCTACGCCGCCCCGCCGGACCTCCCCCGTCACTCTGTGAGTCCTGCCTCCTGTCACTCTGTGAGTCCTGCCTCCTGTCACTCTGCCACACACCGCTCTCCACCGGCCAACACACTCCTTCCCCCCCCCCCCCCTTCCCCCGTAACTCTCCGCTCCCCCTCTCCCTCTCAGCACCACCACTCACCACTCTCCACCTGTCCCCCCCCCCCTCAATGTAACCATTTTCTCTATACACTATTTCTATCACTTTAACCAAATGGTTGCCCCTTAGAATGCTAATCTGCCATCTGTTATACAAAGGTTAAAGTCTTTGGAGCCTTGGAGCTAAAGACTTGGAGCTGAATATTTCACATACACAGCCTTCGTGAAGGTTTGGGGCCGTACCCCTTACTTCATGGGGGGCACCGGGCCCACCCCGGACCCTATTATGTTTATTCTGATATAATCACCATTAATCGTGCAACGATTAGTGAAGCTAGCCCCAAGCATCAGACTTCCAGCCTCGAACAAACATTATTTCTTAGATTTTATTAGAGTGAACCCAGTTGTGCCCAGGTGTCACTCTTTCTCCCTTCTCTCTCCTTCTCTCCTTCTCTCCTTCTCTCTCCTTCTCTCTCCTTCTCTCTCCTTCTCTCTCCTTCTCTCTCCTTCTCTCTCCTTCTCTCTCCTTCTCTCTCCTTCTCTCTCCTTCTCTCTCCTTCTCTCTCCTTTTTTCTCCTTCTCTCAGTTCACGCAATATACATGGCCAGCAAATACACAACTTTACCATAACGTTATTTTTTCATTGTTACTTGATGCATTGTTGTAACAACGTTGTCGTTACTTTGTGTGTGATGAACAGCAGAAAAATCTGTTTAACAAACTCTAGGGACAGTCAAAACCCCATTTTAGACTTCATAAGCGTCGGTGGATGTTGCAATAAGAGCCAGTAATTCTTAAAGAAATACTTGGGGGGGGGGGGGGCGGAGACGCCGACCCCTTATACAACTCATTCTCCCGTTTAGAAAGTATTTTTGTGACTGTGTCTACCATAGTACGAACATTGACGTACTAAGCAATTAGACAATAGTACTTTTGTACTATTCACTTTATAAAGACCGAGAAAAATGAAGTTTAAAACAAACTTAAATATTCCTAGGCGTAGTATAGCACACATATGTACTATGTTAGGCCTCTGATAGCGTATATCAGGCCTCTGATAGCGTATATCAGGCCTCTGATAGCGTATATCAGGCCTAAGAAGGTTAGGTTTGGTAAGTTTAGTTTGTCTTTGCAACATCAATAGAAAATCGTTTTCTTTTGTCCAAATTCAATAGTACCGATTTCTACTTTCTCATTGTGTTGTATGTCGGTATATGTACTATGGTCCTCATCCTTGCTATAAGTACTGCCAAAACAGGATGACGGGCTGGTGGTACTCCCTATGACGTCACAAATCATCATAAAGCATTGTATGAGACTAGCTGCAAGCATTTGGTCCCATCCTCAGGAAGAGAAACATTGTGTTTTTATTGATATAATACTAATGTTGGCATTAGTGAATCTACTTTCTAGAAGACAAATGAACTATCAGGAGAAAGTGCCAAGTCGTTGTGACTACAGCACTGGGAAGGGGTCAGGATAAGGATTTAGGATGGGACGAGGGGTAAAGATGGGGCCCAAACACTTGGACCATCGGGGATTGAACGCCGACCTGCATGAAGCGAGGCCGTCGCTCTACCGTCCAGCCCAAGTGGTTGGGCTTACTTTTCAAAATAGTAATACTATATTTAATTATAAGGCAATTTTTCACCATCATGGTATATGGAATTGAGTTCCTTCTAATGTAAAAATTTACGAATTTAGAGGGAAAGTTAATATTCTAATTAAATATTTGGCACATCTAAAAATTTTTACAACACAAAGGTAATTTTAGAAGTAATGCAATTCACCCATATTTACTACAATGAATACTAGATTACACCTATGTATATTTTTCCATTCAGTTCCTTGTGTTTTAGAATGCTAATGTTTTTCCACAAATTCGTATATATACATTAGTAATATTACCACAAGTAATGTAAAGGGTGTGTGTCTCCAGCAACAGCAACAGCAGCACTAAGACCACCACCAAGACCACCACCAACAACTACCACCAGCATGAAGATGATGGCTGTAATAGTGCTGATGGTGATCAACATTCTCCACACTGGTGAGCCTTCTCTTAAACCCTAGACTCCACCTCACAAACATTCACCTAAATATACTTAATTGACACAATATTTGTTTCTAACGTGTGATAATTCATTACATACATTCACCTCCCCCGAACTCCTACCCGTAAAGAGGGAGAGAGAGAGAGATAGATATAGATAGAGATAGATAGAGATAGATAGATAGAGATAGATAGAGATATAGATAGAGATATAGATAGAGATATAGAGATAGATAGACGTAGAGATGTAGATAGATGTAGATATGTAGATATGTAGATAGATGTGGAGATGTAGATAGATGTGGAGATGTAGAGATGTAGATAGATAGATATATATCTCTATGGTTGGAGAAATTTGAGCCTTTAAATTAGCTGGTAGAGGACATAGGGTAATAAACATTCCTGTTTGTGGAAGATGCAGTTATATTGAGAAGAGTTAGAGGTAAACAGATGAAGCTGATAAACTACAGGAAGACCTGCTGCACTGCAGCATTGATCATTACTGGGTTTCAATACAGATTAATTCAAAGTAATAATGATTGGTACGTTCGTGATAATGCCTGCTTGACCGAGCCTGTAAATCTTTGTGTTGCATAATCTATTTAATTAAGTTCCCATGAGCCTATCAGATATCATATCTTATTCAGTGAGATAATCACTTTACAATTACTTAAAAGGGTGCTATGCATCACCTAGTTGGGTATCACGGAAGACTTGTATATTACGATTGCAAGATTCTCTTAAGTTGAGCTCCAACTGGAGGAGTCTACGAATGCAGCTTCACGACAACTTACACAAGAGGCCTTTAAACTTGTTTTCTGGTTCTATGGTTTATGTTATCACTTTGAAGAAAAGTGTGTACGTTTAGTGAGGGCGGCTCAGAGCTGTGTACACTACCGTCAATCTCCCCTTAAAAAACAAATTCAGTCTTGATTTTGTAAATACTTAGTAAAGTCCCAGGGGGACAGAATTATCAAGTACTCCACTTGCTGCTGTTCCCCTCTAATGCTTTTTACATTTTCTACCTTCCTTCATTCTGTCTTATCGCAAAATCCTTATCCTCATACCCTAAGTGCTATATAGTCGTAATAACTTAGTGATTTCTTCTGTCACTTACCTTAACTTTTAGGAAGTCCATAATCCAGTATAGTATTTTGCTTTCTGTGCCGTGTGCTATAACTTTCCTCATTAATCTCTCGTGCAGAAATGTCCAGAGTCTTATAAAATCAAGATAAGTAATAGCTTAGTTTTTACCGCTGTCCTCTGCTTTAAATACTTTTCAAGAGGAATGAAGTACATTTGTAAAACAATAACGCCAGCTAGTGAATCCTTGCTGCGAGTTATGCAATAAATTAAGATACAATATAATGAAGAACTCGGTTTTCTATTGGTGCTACAAGCAATTTCCTCAATTGGTGCAAGATTAATTAATCTGTAGTTACAATTGGAAATACGATAGACGTATACGATTCCTAGATGCTGTGGAACAACTCCAGAATTAGCCGAATTTTCTTAAGAAATTTGTAAATGATCTACTGAGCTCTTACATAAAGTAAATATCTCGTTAAAGACAGCGGATTTATTTTGTAATAGTTTTATTGGTTTTCAAATCACAACTTTTATCAAAAGTGTTACCTGTTGTATTTTCCACACTTGTATTAATAATGTCAACTTTGGGTATTGTGCCTAGGTTACACTAGAGAATACTGATATGAAATCAAGTTATCTATTCTATAATGTTGTTAATTTTCTTCTATATCAGTTCAATAATATAAACAGGATTTCAAAGGCCAAATATTTTCACGAACTTATGTTTGCTATGATTTATACCATTCTTCAGCAGTTTACTAAGCTTCTCAAGCTGTCTTAACTTTATAATCTTTCTTTTCTTACCTCTTCTTGTTTACATATTACTACTCTGACGAATATTTCAGAATGTTGTCACAAATTCGTATTTAATATAACAATTCCCGTAGTATGGGACAGAAAACCTGCAATTAGGCTTGAATCGATGTTTCCACTAGTCGACCTTACCTAGTCGACCTTACCTAGGATGCAACCTTACCTAGTCGACCTTACCTTGGATGTAACCTTACCTAGTCGACCTTACCTAGGATGTAACCTTACCTAGTCGACCTTACCTAGGATGCAACCTTTCCTAGTCGACCTTACCTAGGATGTAACCTTTCCTAGTCGACCTTACCTAGGATGCAACCTTACCTAGTCGACCTTACCTAGGATGCAACCTTACCTAGTCGACCTTACCTTGGATGTAACCTTACCTAGTCGACCTTACCTAGGATGTAACCTTACCTAGTCGACCTTACCTTGGATGTAACCTTACCTAGTCGACCTTACCTAGGATGTAACCTTTCCTAGTCGACCTTACCTTGGATGCAACCTTTCCTAGTCGACCTTACCTAGGATGCAACCTTACCTAGTCGACCTTACCTAGGATGTAACCTTACCTAGTCGACCTTACCTAGGATGCAACCTTTCCTAGTCGACCTTACCTAGGATGTAACCTTTCCTAGTCGACCTTACCTAGGATGCAACCTTACCTAGTCGACCTTACCTAGGATGCAACCTTACCTAGTCGACCTTACCTTGGATGTAACCTTACCTAGTCGACCTTACCTAGGATGTAACCTTACCTAGTCGACCTTACCTTGGATGTAACCTTACCTAGTCGACCTTACCTAGGATGTAACCTTTCCTAGTCGACCTTACCTTGGATGCAACCTTTCCTAGTCGACCTTACCTAGGATGCAACCTTTCCTAGTCGACCTTACCTAGGATGCAACCTTACCTAGTCGACCTTACCTAGGATGTAACCTTACCTAGTCGACCTTACCTAGGATGCAACCTTTCCTAGTCGACCTTACCTAGGATGCAACCTTACCTAGTCGACCTTACCTTGGATGCAACCTTACCTAGTCGACCTTACCTAGGATGTAACCTTACCTAGGATGCAACCTTACCTAGTCGACCTTACCTAGGATGCAACCTTACCTAGGATGCAACCTTACCTAGGATGTAACCTTACCTAGGATGCAACCTTACCTAGTCGACCTTACCTAGGATGCAACCTTACCTAGGATGCAACCTTACCTAGGATGCAACCTTACCTAGTCGACCTTACCTAGGATGCAACCTTACCTAGTCGACCTTACCTAGGATGCAACCTTACCTGTTCGACCTTACCTAGGATGCAACCTTGCCTGTTCGACCTTACCTAGGATGCAACCTTACCTGTTCGACCTTACCTAGGATGCAACCTTACCTAGGATGCAACCTTACCTAGGATGCAACCTTACCTAGTCGACCTTACCTAGGATGCAACCTTACCTAGTCGACCTTACCTAGGATGCAACCTTGCCTGTTCGACCTTACCTAGGATGCAACCTTACCTGTTCGACCTTACCTAGGATGCAACCTTACCTGTTCGACCTTACCTAGGATGCAACCTTACCTGTTCGACCTTACCTAGGATGCAACCTTACCTAGTCGACCTTACCTAGGATGCAACCTTACCTAGTCGACCTTACCTAGGATGCAACCTTACCTGTTCGACCTTACCTAGGATGCAACCTTACCTGTTCGACCTTACCTAGGATGCAACCTTACCTAGTCGACCTTACCTAGGATGCAACTTTACCTAGTCGACCTTACCTAGGATGCAACCTTACCTAGTCGACCTTACCTAGGATGCAACCAACAAAAGAAGTTGTCTAACCTCTGGGTACCTATTTACTGTTAAATGGACAGAGTCATCAGGTGAAAGGAAGCATGCACAACCATTTCTGTCCCGCCCGGGGATCAAACCCAGGATCTTCGCTTGTGAGTCGAGAACGTAGATCACTATACTACAGGAGCCATAATAATGATCTTTACCTCAGGGGAAGCTGTAGAGTGCTACGACATCGATATCGAGGAGTGTGGAGGTTCCTGCTTCACTACAGTCAACCAAGGGAGTGAGTGGACTTGTACTTGTGTCATGTTCTATATCCTGCTACACGCATCTACCACTTGAATATGCACCCAACTCTTCTGATATCTTAAAAACATTGAGTACTGCTGCATTTATATATTTTCAAACAATATGTACATAAAACCATGAAAAGAATGCGAGACTGGCGGGTCAACATGAGAGGGAGAGGAAGGGACGAGGCTGCACCGCCAGCAAGGAGCCTATAGCCTATCGTCCTGCGCCGTATTTCCATACCATGCTTATGGAGCATTTATAAATATTATAACAATTTTATTTAATAATTTTTGTTAATTATTGTCTTTTCAACAGAGGATACAACGCAAGGCTGTCTTCCTCTTATCCAGAGCGATGGAGACACGCCGGATAATTTTGGCTTCACCATTACAACCTATTGCAACAGCGACTTGTGCAACACTGGTCACACTACTTCGTTAAGCTACGCCGTGCTCCTTCTGGTCCTGGGGCTCCTGCTGCGGATGTAAACTACGACTGAAGAAATACCTTAACGTCCAAGTAACCTATTGATTAGTAAGACTTAATATCACATCGTTCCAGTTGTATCAAACCGTTCAAAGCCTAACCGTCGTGAACCAGCTGCAGTAAACCAAGAGTTTGAGATTCGCTTCGCTGCACCAGCTGGCGAACTTCTCAGCGTTTTATATACATAAACCATACGAAGGAAAATGGGCTGATATGCGCGGACAACCTTGAATGGACCCCAAGCCTACATGCAACAGAAAATTCCTCACCCCTGAAGGATACAAACCCAGACAGCCAGAGGCTCCATGCCCCCATGGCGTATCCAGTACTTTCACCACTACGCCACAACGTACTGGACTGGTGAAAGTACGTAACACGCCAAGTACATGGAGCCTCTGGCTGTCTGGGCTCGCATCCTTCAGGAGTGGGAGAAAGTGCAAAAGGCTCTTTGTATATTTTAAACTCTGAACTGTAATGTAAATCCTGATCTTAAACGCTGCAACAGTGAAACAGGTAACGGAGCAACAAGTACCGCAATATCCGAACTTCCAATAACATTGTTCCACATGAATTTCTTCTGCACGGCCAACAAAATGGAGGAAAGAGCCCTAAAAGAGATCATTGAGAGGAACGTTACCCCAAGTGACGTCGACCAGAAGATAAAACTAACAATATACTGCAAGAGTAAGAAAACCGCCAACCTGCTAATGAAGAATTCTCCCGACACCAAGAAAAACGTCTTGAAAGATACCAACGTTGTTTCACATACCCGCTTGGGGATTGTCAGCCCTAACGTTCTCAGTATATAGGCAAGACGACAACGTCCCTCTCCAAGCGATTAATAATGCACAAACAACAGGGCTCCGTCAAGGAACACATAATCGCCACACACACAACCAGGCGATCACCAGAGATATTTTGATAAGCAGCTCCGAAATAATTTATAGATACAATGACAATAGAAGATTAGACATCAGTAAGGCGCTGCATATCAAGAAATCTAGACCATCTAAAACCAACCAGATAATATAACGGTTACACGCTACCCACTTCAGAACCCCGGGCCAACGCAGAGGCAGGACCGAGTGACCCTGCCACAGGAACGGAAGCAGCCAGAAGAGCATAAGCTGTCAATATGTCACTCTATATTTATACATTTAAGACCTTATCAATATGCCCTATGTAATGTCATTCATCCATATGTTACCTATTCATCTATATGTTCCTAACCACCTCACCATTAGAGGGTAAAATCTGGTGCTAAGCACGTTAGAATTTGTCTTTGAAATTGTAAGGAGTGACCTGGCAAATCGCATCAATAGGCGTCAGACCCAATAAAAAGTCAAAAAATGAGCTTTGGAGAGTTATTTTTTCAACTTACTGCTTTAGTGAAGAAAAACATAAGATTTACCGGTTTGATTCGTGCCAGAATCATGAATCTAAATCTTTCTGCCGTTTTCAACGAAATATGTATAAAGGACTGCTACCAAAGTATACTGCTACCAAAGTATACTGCTACCAAAGTATACTGCTACTAAAGACTGCTACCAAAGTATACTGCTACTAAAGACTGCTACCAAAGTATACTGCTACTAAAGACTGCTACCAAAGTATACTGCTACCAAAGTATACTGCTACTAAAGACTGCTACCAAAGTATACTGCTACTAAAGACTGCTACCAAAGTATACTGCTACTAAAGACTGCTACCAAAGTATACTGCTACCAAAGTATACTGCTACTAAAGACTGCTACCAAAGTATACTGCTACTAAAGACTGCTACCAAAGTATACTGCTACTAAAGACTGCTACCAAAGTATACTGCTACTAAAGACTGCTACCAAAGTATACTGCTACTAAAGACTGCTACCAAAGTATACTGCTACTAAAGACTGCTACCAAAGTATACTGCTACTAAAGACTGCTACCAAAGTATACTGCTACTAAAGACTGCTACCAAAGTATACTGCTACTAAAGACTGCTACCAAAGTATACTGCTACCAAAGTATACTGCTACTAAAGACTGCTACCAAAGTATACTGCTACTAAAGACTGCTACCAAAGTATACTGCTACTAAAGACTGCTACCAAAGTATACTGCTACTAAAGACTGCTACCAAAGTATACTGCTACCAAAGTATACTGCTACTAAAGACTGCTACCAAAGTATACTGCTACTAAAGACTGCTACCAAAGTATACTGCTACTAAAGACTGCTACCAAAGTATACTGCTACTAAAGACTGCTACCAAAGTATACTGCTACTAAAGACTGCTACCAAAGTATACTGCTACTAAAGACTGCTACCAAAGTATACTGCTACTAAAGACTGCTACCAAAGTATACTGCTACTAAAGACTGCTACCAAAGTATACTGCTACTAAAGACTGCTACCAAAGTATACTGCTACTAAAGACTGCTACCAAAGTATACTGCTACTAAAGACTGCTACCAAAGTATACTGCTACTAAAGACTGCTACCAAAGTATACTGCTACTAAAGACTGCTACCAAAGTATACTGCTACTAAAGACTGCTACCAAAGTATACTGCTACTAAAGACTGCTACCAAAGTATACTGCTACTAAAGACTGCTACCAAAGTATACTGCTACTAAAGACTGCTACCAAAGTATACTGCTACTAAAGACTGCTACCAAAGTATACTGCTACTAAAGACTGCTACCAAAATAAAAAGTATTCAGAGAAGACCTTGTGGATTCTCACTGAACACATTTATATTTTCTTCTACCACCTCTATTTTTTTTTTTTACTAATTTTATTACATTGCGCTACAGTTTACAGAAAACACACAAACACACACACACACACACACACACACACACACACACACACACACACACACACACATAACAATCACTGTACGAAGACCTCGTCCAACTCTTCGGAGGTGGAGTACATGCCTAAGATAGAGCAAGTATTTCCTCTCTAGATCGCGACAATGAGATGCTGGAACAGGAAACTGGCCGCTCTTGAGTCTTTAGCTTGCCTAATGAGTTCCTCACCCACTTCCTTTTGGAACTTGAGTGCACATTTACCCCAGGCGCCCAGGGTCTCAGAGCCAATTGGCACGAACCTGTAACAACGTTCTTGGTTCCTGTACTTGTTGGTTTTCTGGGTCTCCCTGAAGGTCGCCGCCCCGCCTCCCTCAGCTGTACTGTAAGGTAGATAGGTATCAGCCAATGTAGACGCGCACGTGTAGTCCCATACGACCTGTCTACCTTCCCTCCATGGCTGCAGGGTGACTGGATGTTTGTGACTGTTGTCAGGTCTGCACAACTGAGGTTCCCATTGTGCTGGACACCCAACTGTAGCCAAACTTTTCTTGATGATGTCATTGACTGCTTCATGTCTGGCAATCTTTCCCTGTGACTTACGACAGATGAGACCATGGCTGCCGTATTGGTCTGCCCGTGCATGGCCGCAGATACACCGGTGTTCGGTGGAGATAGGGGCAGCAAGGCGCAGTTCCTTGATCATTTAGTCGAATTGATGTAGTTGGAATTTTAGGTCAAAATTATGTTAGTCAAAATAAAACATAAGGTTCAGTATTGTGTGTTCTGAGGTGATATACCCGTCATGTTCGAAGTTGGATGCAATCTTTAGTAAACAGAGTTCTTCTCAGACTGGAAACACGAGATAAATCGTCCGTGTTGCATATTGAACATATTCGAACATTATCATACTGCGATTGTCTGCCCCAGTAGTAGTATAAATGAGAAAATCGGTAGAAGCCATGATGAGGATTTGAACCTGCACACTGGTTACTCCCAAGCATACGCCCTAACCAACTCTGCAAAGGTATGCCCACTGGGTACATGGGAGCGTCCAGTGTGCAGGTTCGAATCCTTATCATGGCTTCAACTAATTTTCGTCATTGATACATCACATTAATATGATTTCTTTGTGCAAAAAAATATCAACATTCCTTCAAAAACTTGCATTGACCAGCAAACTTACCAACTAATTTGGAAGAAAGCCAAGATAGTAGCTTTCAACAAACCAAAAGCAGGAAATCAGTAGAGATTAATAAAATATCGTAGTATTGGCACAGAGCACTGATGTGTGTGTCCTTAAAAATATCTTGTTACCTAACCTATCAGGTTGTCATGAACAATCTTTCCTTCCAATAACACGCAGTATAAACGAGGATATCCCAAAAGAAGTGTAATCAGATCATTGTTTTGTAACATTTAATTCGAGAACAAAGACTTAGTTTGCAATCATCTGAATTGACATACTAAGTTTTAGAAGAGATATGAAAGATAACCAATGTAAATACTGACATTATTAAAACAATTTTATCTAAAGCATTACATTGGTATGTTAATAATTTCCCCAAAAAAATTAACGATAGCTGTCTCAGGGAGATACACACACATACACACACTATATATATATATAGCCTATCCTAAGGTTAGACAAGAAAAACTTGATATAGAATTCATTGATTTGTATACTGTATTAGCCGCATACGTTTTATGAATGCACGTATTCTTTATTAGATATGTGATAGACGTTGCACATAAATTCAGTAGAAAATATGTTCTCTACGCTATTTTACAATCCTTCCTAACTGATAATCGGAGCAACAACAAAGCCCAGAGGTTGAAAAATTAGCTACTTTATGCTAACTCTAATCACAGGAGCTAGTGATGATCCTCCTCAATGGGCAGAGTAGTAGTAGTAGGCATTATTAATTTACAAATACTTTGCAAATATTAAATGCAAAGGTAGAAACCTTTGCATTGTTCATGTTATATCAGCAGCAAGTGTAAAATGTTGGCATTGTTCTTGATAGAGAAGCTTATCTAGTTGTTCAGTCAGGTATAGTACTGGATCAATACCCTGAAATTGAGGTCGCTAGCATACGCAGAAGAGAACTGATTCGTGAAATTTTGCCCCTAGCAGAACGTAGATAATTTGTAAGTGTCTTGTAAGATACTTTTGGAGGCAGCACTTGTAGTTTGCGATGAGGGCAGATAGCGACACCTCAGCCTCTTCCAAATAGTGGCTTACGTTCCATTTAGAGTTCCCTTTGATTCGATTAACGTAACTTTAAGTAGTCATTTATAAGTCTTTGTGATCGGGGAGAAAAAACCTGAACTTAGTAGTAATAGGTTTATCAATGTGGGTCGTGGGTCCCTCATGGCTGGTGTGTGTGTGGGTCGTGGGTCCCTCATGACTGGTGTGTGTGTGGGTCGTGGGTCCCACATGACTGGTGTGTGTGTGTCTTGGGGTCCCTCATGGCTGGTGTGTGTGTGGGTCGTGGGTCCCTCATGACTGGTGTGTGTGTCTTGGGGTCCCTCATGACTGGTGTGTGTGTGTCTTGGGGTCCCTCATGACTGGTGTGTGTGTGTCTTGGGGTCCCTCATGACTGGTGTGTGTGTGTCTTGGGGTCCCTCATGACTGGTGTGTGTGTCTTGGGGTCCCTCATGACTGGTGTGTGTGTGTCTTGGGGTCCCTCATGACTGGTGTGTGTGTGTCGTGGGTCCCTCATGACTGGTGTGAGTGGGTCGTGATGGAGCATGGCCAAAATTGGAGCCACAACAACTTTACCAAGACAACGATATTGACCAAGTACCACGTGCCGCGCCTCACATCACGTGCCGCGCCTCACATCACGTGCCGCGCCTCACATCACGTGCCGCGCCTCACATCACGTGCCGCGCCTCACATCACGTGCCGCGCCTCACATCACGTGCCGCGCCTCACATCACGTGCCGCGCCTCACATCACGTGCCGCGCCTCACATCACGTGCCGCGCCTCACATCACGTGCCGCGCCTCACATCACGTGCCGCGCCTCACATCACGTGCCGCGCCTCACATCACGTGCCGCGCCTCACATCACAAATAAGGAGGTCGACAGCGCCACACTGAGACGGATATCACCCTCAGTATTTGCTCTATTGACCAGTTTCACTTCCGACAACAGACCCCAGCGTTTGGTAACACTTCCTTGGAAGGAAGGGAAAGATGCAGCAATAAACAGGGAGAGAAGCTCATTGATCCGTGAGGCGTATTGTCCACGCCAACATTCGGAGATGGACTCCACTGAATATGGATAGTTAACGCACCTATTTATCTGAGATTTCTTTTCTAACAGTCAACGGCCAGAGGAATTATTGCTACAATGGTCAAGAATTAGTATTTTGTGTAATGAAGCTTTGGGGGAGCTCTTGAGCGCTGATCTGACCACTTTCTCCTGCAGTTCCCACACATGGGGCTCAGAACTGCTATTATCTCCAGGTACTGATGGACCAAGATACTTCGTAGTAATAGATAAATATTAACGGAACACAACATTTATACAATTACAAGACAGCTAAACATGAACGTTCGTTTATTCTGGAAATATTCACTGTTTTCTTTAATGCAATTCATCTTCACTCTCCTAATAGGCAGTACTGTTTTATTCATGTGAGCTGTGCACCATCCTGGTTCACTGTCAGTTCCTCTGGGTGAAGGTGAACTTTAGTGGGCGTGAGGGAGTTAACACCATACGACAAATGACCTCCATGTCTTGGTATTTGTAATCAACGGTGAAGCGCTGCATCGCCTGTGTAGGAATAGCATTATTGGTTAAGACGTTCGTTGTCTTAAAGAAACTGGCATGTGTTAAACTTATTCATATCTTCAATTCCATGAATAGAACTACTTGATACAGCAAAACAGACATATATAGCTTAGATATTTCACCAGGAAAACATGAACTTATTAGTATGATTTGTATCAATTTGATAGAGAAAGAGGGGAATTTGTTTTAAGTTTTCCTCTAAATTTGCATAGAAATAATATAATTTTAAACTGACACACTGAATTACTTACCCTAGCAAGAAAGGTGTATAGTTCCTGTTCAGCGATGCGTCGACCAATACACATCCTGGTGCCGCCCCCGAAAGGCAGGGAAGCATAGGGATGGATGGGCCCAAGAGGCTGGTGCCTCAACCAGCGATCAGGAAGGAACTCCTTCGCCCGAGGGAACTCCGACTCGTCCCAACCTGTCGTCATACTCAAGGCGACCACCGACCACTGTGCGCTCCCAGAAATAAATATAAGGAAATAAAAATAAAGTTAAGAAATGCATAATTCTAAAATATTAATTCAACTTTTAGGTCAATATGCAGCAACACTGAGCAAACAAACTAATGTGCAATATTGTGGAGTGAAGTTTACACACCCCTTTAGGAATTAGGAAGCCCCTAAGGACGACGTCCTTCTGCAAAACTCTTCCAGTTCCAAAAACTATGGGAAAAACCCTGAAAAAAATGTTTTTTTTTTTTAAACAGGAAAAATTATATAAAATATTATATGGAAGGAAGTACCACCTCTGGCTGGAAGAAGGGGACCCTTAGCCTCGGAGGAAACCACACATAACGCATTAGAGAGAATGTTATATATTAAGAGACTAGGAGCTTAGTGAGTGATTAAAAAAAGTTGTTTAAATAGTATGAAACCGAAAACAAAGTTATATAATGTAAATCAATATCTATTAAACAGAATGATTGTATGTTGACCAAACCACACTCTAGAAAATGAAGGGACGACGACGTTTCGGTCCGTCCTGGACCATTCTCAAGTCGATTACAATCGACTTGAGAATGGTCCAGTGTGTGGTTTGGTCAACATATTTCTGCCACGTTATTGTGACTCCTCGTCTGCACAATGATTGTACGTCTGTCTGTCCAAGGTTGGAGGCCATGCAGAGGCCTGGGGCTAGTTTCATCCAACTTTTCAAGATGGCACACCAGCGGTATGTGACTATCTGGACTGAACGGTAGAGCGACGGTCTCGTACTTGCAAGTCGGCGTTCAATCCCCGATCACCCAAGTGGTTGGGCACCATTCCTTCCCGCCGTCTATCCCAAAACCTTATCCTCATATCCCTTCCAAGTGCCATATATTCGTAATGGCTTAGTGCTCTCTCTCATGATTACCTTTTACCTTCATCAAAGGCTGATAAGAGTCGGCCATATCCCCGCTCTAGGACATATCGGTTCTTATCCCCGCGATTTTTATGGAATTTGGGTTTTGTTTACCGCAGAGTATTAAAAGATTACATTTTCTGAGAGAAAGAGAGGGGGGAAAGTGAGAGAGTGAAAGATCCCAGCAAGTCTTTAAAACGAGATGAGGTATTTTCCCAGGCCATGAATTAATATAAACATGAGCTTTAAGAACTCATCTCTTGCATGTTTAGCGGGACGCCGGGATCATGGTACTATGTGTGGTACCGATTGCTTAGAAAGATAACAATCGACCACTCAGTTTAACAGCTATTGTGGGAAATTTGCTTGAAACACACATCATTAAAGTGTGGTTTTGCTGAGGGTCATTCGTATATAATAAATATTCTCTCATGTTTTCCCAGAACATCTCAAGCAGTGGACAGAGCTAAATATTACATCATCATATTCCAAGACCATAATATTTATGGAATATGGGAGGGAGAGACTAGATAGCAACTAAAGTCTTAAGCTTGATGATTTAACCTAAATCAAACATGTTTTACGATAGATTAAAATATATACAAAGTTGTAGAAAATATTAAATATACTTAGGAGAATTTTTGTCAAATATCACTATAATGTGATATACATATTTATTGAATAATAATAACATGATTACATAAACAATGGCCAAGCTGTGATCAAAGTAGGCAGCCAAGACCATAAACAGTTCACTCACACATCAGACATTAACGAGATGGTCACGAGAGGTTCCTAACAAAACCTAGATATTGAGTCTCCAAACATCAAACGAACAAAACAGAGTCTTAATCAGAACAATTAGTGAGAGAGAGAGAGACACACACACAGATTGCTAAGTATTATAGAGTAATACCAGTTCTGCAAGTTTTGGTAATTTTTCCAGTGGGGGGCCAGACATTATTTAGAGAACAGAAAAAGATCTAGGTGCATTGATTTCCATGGATTTAACAGTTAGGGATTAGGACCGGGAGTTTCAGCTTCCTGGAAAGTAATGCCTCTGGTTATATTGTCTGTGCAATATACCTATAGGCCCTGCAACGCTCAGTAGAAATGCCGAACTACATTGCGAACTTAAACACAGAAAAATAGACAGAGAAGGACTCAGACAACCTTAGCCTTTTCCTGTTAAATAAGAGTTAAATTTGTATGATCCGCTCATCGATAATTCGTACCTCATGGATTCTTTAACGACGGCCTTGAGGTAGGACAGCTGGGCCAGGTGGTTCGGTGTGAGGGAGCCGGTGTGATCCCCGAGCACTGTGTCGACCTCCTCCTGCAGTCGTTTCTGCACCTCCGGGTTCCTGGCCAGCAGGTACAGTGTGAAGGCCAGAGTGTGCGAGGTCTGACCCACCGTCCATATGAAAATATTATACATGCATTACTCACGTTGAAAACTGCAAGTTCTCTCGGAGCATGGCGAGGGTATAAATAAATGATATAAACGTCGAGTAAGTGAATACGAGTCCATAGCCATACTATATAGTTGGTTATGGACTAGGTCCGCGGATTCATAAAGCAGTTACGCAAGTACTTACGAACGTGTACATCTTTCCTCAATCTTTGACGGCTTTGATTATATTTATTAAGCAGTTTACAAGCGTGTTATTGTTATAAACAGCCTCCTGGTGCTTCAGAGCTCAATAACTGTTTAATGCCGCCAAATATTGAGAAAAGACGTATAGGTTCGTAAGTGCTTACGCAACTGCTTTATGAATCCAGGTCCATTCTCTTAGGGTTGCCGAGACGCATCCGATACCTCGATCGTCGGCGCCCCTTAACAACAACAATAACTCGTCTCTTAAGTCCTCCTTGTAAACCATCGAAAAGCAGCGTTGGGAAGGATACCAGCAAAGTGGAATCAGAGCTTAATCTACTTAGAGCTTGAAGCCCTTGCTAATCTTGGACTCTCCTGCATCAAACAGTTTATATAATTAAGCACAGCCCATTAGTGGATTTTTTAAATCCATTAGTGGATTTTCTAACACTCCTCCATTGATAGAAAAATACACAAATTCCTATCCTTGAGACCCCGTATAAGTGCCAGTGAAGGGCGTGTCAAGGCTCACCGTGTCTATGCCAGCGATGAGCATGTCCAGGATGAGGGTGACAACGTCCTTGCGGGAGAGCCCGGGCTTGAGAAGCAAGGCCTCCATCAGCGTCATCTCCCCTTGCCCGCCACTGGCAGTCCGGGCCTGCAGCGCTGCCTCCGTCTCACGTATGTTCTTGTCAGCAATTCTGCACCATACCGTCACTTCGTCTTTATGTTTCAAACATTATAATGCATATTTTGTTGAATATAATGACAAAATTACTTATAATCAAACAAATAAATATATATATATTAGGTGTATATATAATAGATGTATATATTATAGGTATACAATCGATATTGTTTATAATTGTAGACAAAAGCAAACGTACTTCGCTGGTTTTGTAAAACAGTCGTTTAGTCCAACAAAATAATTTATTACTTTATCTGAATAATAATTATATCCTTTCATCTAGTACTGAACAATGTTCTCTAATAGGAACAGAAATATATCTAGATAGAGAACTAGTAGTTTCATACTCCAGAAATTCCTCATGGGTCTTCTTAAGCCTTCTGAAAGACGGGGTCTGGACCAGCATCCAAAGATGAGAACTGAATTCTACTTCACTCAGAGAACTAAAGAATTCATTTGCCAGCTTGATTAGTTTCATGGGTTCCGAGTCAGCTGCTATGTTAGGATCCAGACACCCGAGTCGACGATTCAGTGCTACAGAGCCAACAGCTGTATATACATATAAAAAACATAATTATATTATCATAAATCGCAATATTAAATATTACATGAATCTAATGTAATTTTTTTTAATATAGGAAATACATATTTCATCATGATACATTTTGTGTTCATGTTTAGGAATTCTGTTATTTTAATAAGCTTTACAAAAGATGTGAGTATCAGCCCTGTGGCTTACGTACACTCAAGGGCCCACTTGTATATTTCATTCTGGAAGTCATGCGGCATCTCGCCAAACTGTGACTGAAGTGATGCAATTCTGAGAACAACAAGAAACGAATTTGTATTAAAAATATGATGAGTTAGCGGTTATTGTTGTACTGCTCTAGCAACCTAATTGCCTGTAGTTCAAGTCTCAGGTAGGAGGAATGAGTTTATATGCCTAAGATGCAACCCCACAACAAACTGACTAACTTCTGGGGCACCTATTTACTCCTAAATGGACAGGATACACGCCCAACCATTTATGTCCAGCTCGGGATTCGAACCCTGAATTTTCGACTGTGAGTCGAGAACGAACCAGACTGAACTACCGGGACCCTAGTATGTCTTGATGTGGGTCCAGGGTGAGCTCAATCCTGCATGTCTGAGTATGTCTTAATAGGGTTAAATCCTGAAAGAGAAAAAAGACCCACATTAAATATACAGAATAACGACTTGGATTCCTTGTCAACACTTACACCCAGATCTCACCAAACATCATTGTTAATTACGTCTCTGCCGAGGTCTCCCACACCCACGGAAACTACCAGAGTTTTACCCAATACCTTACCCTATGTTTTGATTGGCCCTTTCCTCCCTTACCCTATGTTTTGATTGGCCCTTTCCTCCCTTACCCTATGTTTTGATTGGCCCTTTCCTCCCTTACCCTATGTTTTGATTGGCCCTTTCCTCCCTTACCCTATGTTTGATTGGCCCTTTCCTCCCTTACCCTATGTTTTGATTGGCCCTTTCCTCCCTTACCCTATGTTTTGATTGGCCCTTTCCTCCCTTACCCTATGTTTGATTGGTCCTTTCCTCCCTTACCCTATGTTTGATTGGCCCTTTCCTCCCTTACCCTATGTTTGATTGGTCCTTTCCTCCCTTACCCTATGTTTGATTGGCCCTTTCCTCCCTTACCCTATGTTTGATTGGCCCTTTCCTCCCTTACCCTATGTTTGATTGGCCCTTTCCTCCCTTACCCTATGTTTGATTGGCCCTTTCCTCCCTTACCCTATGTTTGATTGGTCCTTTCCTCCCTTACCCTATGTTTGATTGGCCCTTTCCTCCCTTACCCTATGTTTGATTGGTCCTTTCCTCCCTTACCCTATGTTTGATTGGCCCTTTCCTCCCTTACCCTATGTTTGATTGGTCCTTTCCTCCCTTACCCTATGTTTGATTGGCCCTTTCCTCCCTTACCCTATGTTTGATTGGCCCTTTCCTCCCTTACCCTATGTTTGATTGGTCCTTTCCTCCCTTACCCTATGTTTGATTGGCCCTTTCCTCCCTTACCCTATGTTTGATTGGCCCTTTCCTCCCTTACCCTATGTTTGATTGGCCCTTTCCTCCCTTACCCTATGTTTGATTGGCCCTTTCCTCCCTTACCCTATGTTTGATTGGTCCTTTCCTCCCTTACCCTATGTTTGATTGGCCCTTTCCTCCCTTACCCTATGTTTGATTGGCCCTTTCCTCCCTTACCCTATGTTTGATTGGCCCTTTCCTCCCTTACCCTGTGTTTGATTGGTCCTTTCCTCCCTTACCCTATGTTTGATTGGCCCTTTCCTCCCTTACCCTATGTTTGATTGGTCCTTTCCTCCCTTACCCTATGTTTGATTGGCCCTTTCCTCCCTTACCCTATGTTTGATTGGCCCTTTCCTCCCTTACCCTATGTTTGATTGGCCCTTTCCTCCCTTACCCTATGTTTGATTGGCCCTTTCCTCCCTTACCCTATGTTTGATTGGCCCTTTCCTCCCTTACCCTATGTTTGATTGGTCCTTTCCTCCCTTACCCTATGTTTGATTGGCCCTTTCCTCCCTTACCCTATGTTTGATTGGCCCTTTCCTCCCTTACCCTATGTTTGATTGGCCCTTTCCTCCCTTACCCTATGTTTGATTGGTCCTTTCCTCCCTTACCCTATGTTTGATTGGCCCTTTCCTCCCTTACCCTATGTTTGATTGGCCCTTTCCTCCCTTACCCTATGTTTGATTGGCCCTTTCCTCCCTTACCCTATGTTTGTTTGTCCCTATTCCCCCTTATCCTATGTTTGATTGAACCCACCTTCTCACCCCATACTCATTCAACTCTTTCACATAAGTATTTAACCAAAAATTGTGCCTCATGTATTCAATGTTTATCTGAAGATGTTCCAGAGAGGAATGAAGCGTTGTAGAAAATATATACACATATTATGTAGTCTTCCTGTCCCCGACAACAGGAATTCAATTATTCGGTTATATTTGATTTGATTAGATTAGTTTACCTAAAAGATAGTTTCATATTACGCTTTCTGTAACTTATGACAGAAAACGGAAACGGATTGGATAAACTAACTCCAGTTAATTTTTTCTTTTAAAACCTTTGGCATTATAAGTTACAGTACATGTAATTCGTTTTGTCTGGAACAGGCAGCCTGTGTGTGTGTACTGACATATTTGTGCCTGCAAGATCGAGCTCTTGGACCCCGCTTTTCTAGCCTTTGGTTGTCTAATGCAACGACTCCTGACCTACTTCTCTTTCATACCTGATTTTTTAAAGTTATGAATGGAGTTTGCCTCTACAACCTGCTCCTTTAGGTCATTCCATTTCTCACAGCCCTTACGCTAAAGGAAAACTTTCTAACATCCCTTTGACACATCTGAGTCTCAAACATTCATCCGTGCCCCCTTTGTTATGTTGATGTTCGTTGTAAACAATTCCTCTGTTTCCCACCCTGTTAATCCCTCTAAGTATCTATACGTCTGTGTCATGTCCTACCCCTCTCCCTCCTCCTTTCTAACGTCGTCAGTGTAACAAACTAGGCTGTTGTAAGAATTATCCAGAGTGGTTTATCGACAAAAGAGAATGGGAAGCTGAGCCCGCATGGTGACCTGGGGACCTGACCCCCAGGGGAATTCGCGGTGGAAATAACCGACGCCTTGTTCATAGCTGCGTATAATGAATCATCCTATAGTATTCAGTAATTTAGAGAAAATTAGCCTTTATTCATTTTGCATTAAAATTGTATTGTATAATAGTACTGGGTACAATATCAAGAGTATTCTAATTATTGAGTTTAAGTCACCATCAGTGACGTCACGAATCAGATCTAACTTGTAAGGCGGAGTGACCGGCGGTCATAGGTCATCAGGGGTTGAGATGTCTACTATTTCTCAAAGTTCAATTAACCATTTTTGGGGGATCGGGAACAGCTCTGCCGTTAGATGTTTGTAATTTAATTTCAGTAAAATAATTCAAGCAGTCTGGATCAATTAAGTACAACAGAGGTTAATTGTTATAACTTAAACCTTGCTAGTAACTTGGTGAAACTTTGACTAGGCGGAAGGATACAATGTTCTAGTCTGGGCTAGATCAGACGAGGACAGATCAGTGTGGAAACGGGAGCAGCTGGGAGAGGTCAAACATCTTACCTCTCCCCGAGACCAGCCCAACATCTTTAGCTGGTAAAACATAGAGGTATAGTTGCTATGGTTATTTATAGAATAGTCTTCATTGCCATTCAGGTCAAGTAGGGAGTGTTAAAGTGACAGGGAGTGAACATATTTAGATTTTGTTTTAGTTTTTCTTTTAATAAATTAAGTAGTTAAGATTTTGCATTTTTATTGTTTCCATGTGTTTTATGTGTAAACTTGTCCTGGTCACGTGGTCCACACGAGGAAGAGTTGGATTGGGCGCCGATTCTAACATCGAATCATTCCCGTGTAATTAATTTCACACTCTTAAGTTTCCACGGTCATCGAGTGGGGATCAAGCCCCCAAGGTTGATTAATTAGCGTGATCGATCCAGACCTCGATCATTGCTCTGTGTTACTGGTCTGGTGGTGGCAGCGTAGAGGCGACTCTAGGGTTTTGCTCAGAGCCTAGGTCACGTCATACTGGGTGTAGAATCCTAAGGCGGTCAATCGTCTTAGGACAACGTGGCGTGGAGTTGGCTTTGGTAAAAGTTTTGGAGTCCCTTGGTAGAGAATAAAAAGTAAGAATACGGGTAGAGGGAGTAGAAGGAAAGTGAAATAGAGAGAGGAACTTAACCCGTGTTACATCAGGTTTAGTTCCTTTAGTCTCTCTTCGTACCTCATCCCTCGCAACTCCGGGACGAGTATCGTTGCAAACTCGATTCTGCACTTTTTCGAGCTTCCTTATGTGTGTTTTTTTGGATGGGGGGCTCCAAGATGGCGCAGCATACCATAGTACTGGCCTCACATAGGCAGTATACAGTGATCTAAAAGCCTCATTATACAAGTTTCTGATAGATGTTCTGACTTTTGCCAGCGTGGAGCATGTGGTTGACGTTATTATATTTATATGAGCCTCGAGAGTTAGGTTCGGCGTTATGTCCACTCCCAGATAACTCTTATAATAGGAGTTATATACAGGCCACCAAACTTAGACAGGGTGGAAACAAAGCACCAATGGGATGATGTTTAGAACAGGAATTCGTACAACTGGTTAGAAATGTTAAAGAGATAAAGAAAGCAAAAATAAATTATGAAGTTCGCAAGCAGGGCAAGCAAAGACAAATCCTAAAGAGTGAATTCACTTGAATGTGTCCAGCGTAGGATTACAAAGTTAATTCCCTAAATTAGAAATCTTTCATATGAAGAAATATTAACAAAGCTTAAATTGCATTCACTGGAAAGGCGAAGAGTTAAAGGTAACATGATAGAGGTTTACAAGTGGATGGGCATAACAAAGGGGATATTAATAGGGTATTAAAAGTATCAACACAAGACAGAACACGAAACAATGAGTATACATTGGATAAGTTTAGATTTAGGAAAGACTTGGGTAAATACTGGTTCGGTAACAGGGGTGTTGATTTGTGGAACCAATTACCGCGTGGTGGAGGTGGCTTGATTTGTCTAACTGTGGCCATAATATATCCTGGAAACCTTACTCCTATCTATAACCTACTCCACCTGTCCAAGACCTTCCTCACCAGCCTTTCTAGCCCGTCCATGAACTTCGCCCCCTGTCCTGGACCTCCTCCAACTGTCCAAGACCTACCTCAATTGTCCAAGACCTCCCTCACGTGTCCAGGAACTGCTCCATCTGACCAAAAACTGTTCCATTTACCCAGGAATTGCCCATCCCCCTTGTCTTGGAAATGTCCCACCTGTCTAGAAACTCACACACCTGTCCTGGACGTTCCTCACCTGTCCAGCATCTTCATCACCTCTCCAGGAACTCCCTCACCTGTTCATGAACTCCATAGAAATTTGATCCATGACAGGCAGGTAGGAAAGCACCTCCCTGACCTTCATCATTGAGGTCTGGACTCGGCTCCGGACTCTCCACCACTCCTCTCCATTTCTGTAACAATTGTAACCCCTCACAATACATCATAGGATTAATAATACTTTATACATATATATATCCATATATCCATAATAATGCTCAGATGTAACTCACAGTGATTAATGGAAGTTAGTGTAGAGAAGTGCCAGGAAATGGAGCAAGGTAGTGCAAAAGAGACACCGTTGGGGTTTATACAGGTTGTGAAACAAGTTTCTTTCAGAAAACAACAGAGTTCAGAGCATCACATAAGTAACATTGTGTCAAGCTTTCACACAATGCTGGCTAATGTTGACCAAACCCCACACTAGAAAGTGAAAGGACGACGACGTTTCGGTCCTTTCCTGGACCATTCTCAAGTCGGTTGTGTCGACAGTTCACAATCGACTTTGTTTCGACGTCGATTTGTTTCACAATCGACGTTTCGGTCCAGGACGGACGGAAACGTCGTCGTCCTTTCACTTTCTAATGTGTGGTTTGGTCAACATATTTCAACCACGTTATTGTGACTCCTCGTCTGCATCTGGCTAATGTTAGGTTGGCAATATTGATATGGATTGTAAGATGCTAAAACAAACTTATTTGTAGCGTTCTTTAGGCTGAAGTTGGAGTATGCAGCAGTTGTATACTACTTTTAACTAAGAAACACATCACAGAGTTGGCGAAAATGTCGAGGTTGAAAATGTTGAAATGTCATGTCTACTACACGAGTACCAGAAATGAAAGATATGAACCATATAAAAGTTGAGACAAATTTATTTGCTACTCAATGATAGAAAGCTGAAAATTTGAAATATCTCTTAGGTGCATCAAGGAGTATGAAAAGATGAGCTAGGAAGTTTGTTCAAGATAGAACTAGAGAACATGTAGCAAATAAGCTAAAATAACAAGAGACTTTAGAAATATTCTTTCTAATCAATTAATGATCGGGTGGAACGTCCCAGGATGGATGAGGTGCTTGAGTGTGTTATATTTAGCAGAAATATTGCTATGTGGACCTTCTGTTTAGCAGAAATATTGCTATGTGGACCTTCTGTACACACACTACATTAGCATATATTTTCAGACATTGTTTGAATGCAAACACCAAATATTGTCACAAAATATAAAAGTGTGAGGACGAGTACATAGAAATTATAAGAGCGAAAGATACACTGTTTCTGAACCACTTAACCAGGAAAATGCTGATAAATAACCAAGTGATGAAGCTACACAAATGAGAAAGATGACACAGAATGAAAATTAATTCTGTACACACACATTGTGTACAGAATTAATAGATACACATTGACTGGTTGAATACATTAATAGATACACATTGACTGGTTGAATACATTAATAGATACACATTGACTGGTTGAATACATTAATAGATACACATTGACTGGTTGAATACATTAATAGATACACATTGACTGGTTGAATACATTAATAGATACACATTGACTGGTTGAATACATTAATAGATACACATTGAATGTGGTTAATAGATACACATTGAATGTGGTTAATAGATACACATTGACAAATGTAAACATACTCTGTCAACAATCCAGTTTTGTTCTCGAAGTAATTGTCCGCAGCTTCCTTCCTTATCTTCTCGAGAGAAGTGAAGCCGTCCCTGATGGGGTTATCCATGGTGGCTCTTATCAGGGTTTCGGCATCGTCAGGCTTGGCAATAATCAGTATCGGGGGGTTTAATGGAGATATAAATTTGACGATAGGTCCATACCTCTCTAACATCTTGTGAAAGAAGAGGTGAACTTGATTGTTACGAGTGGCTGCGAAAATGACGATAAATTTCATCAGTTATATGTAGTTTGGTAATATTAATCATAAAAATGGACGAAATACATGAAAAGGGAAAAAGATGTGTTTTTTCAGTTAAATTTAGACATTTGAAAGCCATTTATAACTTCCTCGTATATTAGAAGTGTGAAAGTCAATAATAGGTCAACATAGACAAGAGCTGTTCACAGTAACATACACTTGTCTAAGAGAAAGGAAGGAAGACACCCGATCAGAGGGTAAACCCTTGGTCCGGGCACTTCCCATACTGATCTTGGCGCTGACGTCTGCTGCTCCGCTGCCGGTGCTGTTGCTTGCCGAGGTGCCGCGCTGATGGTGAGGGCACGAGACAATGATGGTGATGAGGGCCGGAGAATCCGCACCAACCCACACCTCACCCCGCCTAACATGACCTGTCAGAAAAAAAAAATAATTCTTTAAACGACAGAATTTGTGCACGAGCAAAGTCAAGTTCGCCTCAAGACATGCTGATTGCGCCATACATGTAAGGTCTATATGAATATCTTTCCGAGTCGACACACTTGCAGCAGGGATTTATATTGGGCCGACTGCTTGTCATAATTTACATAAACAGCCTTGATACTGGAGAAAGGGATATAAAGAAGATGGACAGTAATAAGGTCATCAAACAGCAAAAATATGGAGACCTTGGGGTGGATAAGAGAGCGGGGCGGCCTCATTCCCTTCTTTATGGTACGTGCAGTGTGTGTGAAGTTTTCTTGCCTCCATGATTTCACATTCTCTCCCTTTAAACGGCTTCATATTTCTGCTCTTCATCTACCTTATTACCATCCTCCTCCTTCATGCCCTCTTCCAGCCCCGGTGAATCACGCCCCTCTTCACAACATTCCCCCACACTATTCCTACAGTGCAACATGAACAAATTGGGCAGCACCGAGCACGCCTGTTGTACCATACTAGGCGACTCTCATTTAAGTCCACCTCCTCTCACCACTGTACATATATTTTTACAATTTATAACATTTCGTGCATTGATGCAGTTATCTCGGCCTCAGGTCGCTGATAAACTTGACTCACAGGTCACTCAGTATAATCTACCCATAACTGTTACTGCTGTGGATATTTCACTTATCATTATTACAAGCTTAAAATAGCATCAGTGCCGCACCTTATCATTACCTTATCGTATTGTTGTCAAGAACAATCACACGCTGTAGATGCGCATTAGACACAAATCAACGTATTATTTCACTAGCATATATAGCAAACAGTATATTCAACAAAAATATATTTTATAACAAGTTGTTCAGTAATGCCACAAATCCAATAATGTCAACAAGGTGTACGAACTATGAAGAACCCGTATTGGCTTACTAATACAGAACTGGATAATTTGTGGCGAGGTCCGTGACGAGGCGGCGTGCAGCACTCCTCCCACCCCGGGCGCACACACACGACTGCCAGCTGGGGGGACCTGGAGGCTGCGGCGCTCATCAAGGGGGTCCTAGATATCACCACATTGCACAACTCTCTCTTTATTAGTAATGTGTGTGTGTTTTGTTTGACTTGTAAAAGATTATTCTAGTTGTTGTAATACTTATCCAATGTCCTGTTTATATGTCAATAAATAGATGGTTATAAGTCCATTAGAAAAATATAAAAAGAGAAGTTAGGCCTAAGACGGTGGTAATAATGACTTTCGCCACCCACAGAGTAATAAATTCAGTGAGATAAACTAAAATTATTTAAACACACACACACACACACACACACACACACACACACACGGGGCGACGGTGGCTGTGGGGATAGCACGCTGGACACGTGATCCTGTGGCTCGGGTTCGATTCCCAGCGCCTGCGAGAAACGATGGGCAGAGTTTTTTTCACCCTGATGTTAACTAGCAGAAAATAGGTACCTGGGACTTAGTCAGCTGTCACGGGCTGCTTCATGGGATGTGTGTGTGTGTATGTGTGTGTGTATATATGTGTGTGTGTGGGAACAAAAAAAATAGTAGTAACAGTTGATTGACAGTTGAGAGGCGGGCCGAAAGAGCAGAGCTCAACCCCCGCAAGCACAACTAGGTGAATACACACTTTCTCCAATTTTCTATTGGAGACTTTCGCGCCATGGAGAGAGGGGGGGGGGGGGGTGACCTGCTGCTTGGGTGACAGCCAAACCGATATTTGGTTGAGATTTCTGATGTGAGGAGGAGTGAGGAAGACTTGTAAAAGAAAGTTAGAATGTAAGAGAAAAAGTTTAGAATGAGAGAGAAAGGAGGAACGTAGAAGAATAGAAAGTAGGAAAATAGATTAGAAAATGCTGACACCATCCATTCAAGAGTTAATTTTAAGACATGGAATGGAACTTGTCTGCACAACAATATTACCGGATGTTCTCAAGTGACCACTGTACGAATCATAGACTTAAGAATCTAAAAGACGAAACTTCAGAGTGCTCTTCACTCTAGCTTTTACTACATCTTAGAAAATCCAACATCTAGGGATCAGAATTAAAGACAGTTTAAAAAGTTAATCAATTACATATTTACTATTATGGGTATCATAATTCAACCATTTCACTTGATGTTCATATGTCAACACTAATTCAGAATTAGTCTCCACACAAGACACTGAGAGCAACTACGGCTGACTGTCCCTGAAAATCACACACCACTTAAATTTGACAAAAAAATATACATCAACCTCACAAGTTCACTCACCAAAGTCTCTGAGACTAAGTTGGTAGACAGGGAAAGGGGGTGGGGGTGATGATATTTTAATACAATCGATATAAAAAGAAAGACTTTCTTTTACAAGTCTTTTTAGAAGTCTAGACAGACCACACAACCCGGCCTGGGACAGGCCTAGTCTTTGCTACGGGAACCTCTCTCATTTAGCGATCTATCTATCGCTGTTCTGCCTCCTAAATGAACAACTCTATTGGGTATTTAAGGAGAGAACCAGGAGTCAAACTCCACCTACCAGGAGGTAGCCCCTGGCTATCTTCCTACCACATCTAGACAGCGATTTGTTTGATGGAAACACAGTCACCAGTCTGCAGTTGTCAGCTTAGCAGAAAGCGAGGTCACCTGATGTGACCTGACCTGACCTGAAGACAACCTGTTACAATTAACAATTGAAAGGTGTTACTTTAGAATGGTAAGAGTAGAGTGCCTGGCGCCACCAATAGTCATCACCTGGCATATGACTGACTCGTTGAATGAGAAATATTAAATAAAACCATTTATGGTGTTACAACATAAGTGACATTATAGTCTACTTGTAAACTGACAAGTGAACCTTTGCCCTAAACAGAGAATATTCTCCAGTTATAACTTTATTGTGTATACAGAGATAATCCCACTAACGTGACTACCCACTTGTTGAAGTGAACCCACCTGTTGAAGTGGTGTACACTTCAATAAGTGTACCCACCTGTTGAAGTGATGTACACTTCAATAAGTGTACCCACCTGTTGAAGTGATGTACACTTCAATAAGTGTACCCACCTGTTGAAGTGATGTACACTTCAATAAGTGTACCCACCTGTTGAAGTGATGTACACTTCAATAAGTGTACCCACCTGTTGAAGTGATGTACACTTCAATAAGTGTACCCACCTGTTGAAGTGATGTACACTTCAGTAAGTGTACCCACCTGTTGAAGTGGTGTACACTTCAATAAGTGTACCCACCTGTTGAAGTGGATTTTACCAAATTTAATCTCATATTTGTGTATTGTACTTGTGTATAATTCTCTCTGTGTATTGAAAGAGGAGCATCAAAGGTAGAACAGGTCCCAGATGACAGCGCCAGAGTGCATCGGGGGACTGTGTGTAAATCTTATTCTTGCTTCAGTAGAAGCCTCAGAAAACCCTTGTGTGTCCAGAAGAACTCAAGGTTGCAATCCTTATACAAGGTCGTGGTCTAGTCGCTAGAAACTTGTACAAGGGAACACTCACCGATTAGGTTTGAGTCCTCATCACTGCTCCCACGATTTTCTCACTATATGTATTTTATCACTATAAATCTTTGGTTTAAAATATACAAAGCCTATGCTGAACTCGTTTTCTTTGAAACAGTCAGAAGAATTTTTTTCTGTAAATGAAATTCTAGAGTACACTGAAATAGTGTACATATTATCGGTATAAAAAGTCGTAATTGGAAATTGCAATAGGTGCAGAGAGCCAGAATTCGACTAAAAAAATCACGCTCAGGAGTTAAATTTCCGACATTTCGGATATTTTGAAAACTGCAGGGGGGTTTGGGCAAAATATGACCCCATCGCCGTTTTCAGTAATTAGCATATTTTCGGTATAAAATATCGTAATTTGAAAATGAAAATAGGTGCAGAGAGTCAGAATTCGGCTCAAAAATCACGCTCAGGTGTCAAATTTCCGATATTTCAGATATTTTGAAAACTGCAGGGGGGGGGGGGGCAAAATATGACCCATCGCCGTTTTCAGTAATTGGCATATTTTCGGTATAAAAAGTAGTAGTTTGAAAATAAAAATAGGTTGATGGGTCTGAATGGTCTCGGCTGTTGGCATAACGATGTTGTCGCCTTGAGGGGCTCTGGGTGGGTGCTTGCTTTGCAGGGCTCGTGCTGTTGCTGAGTCTCGAGGAGCAATTTTCTCGTCACTGGTGAGGACTCAAATAGCACTTGCGGTATTTCTTTCTTCAATTTTCTTAGTGATTTGTGCTCTGATTTTGTACGTTTCCGATGTGTTGTTTCCATTTCTGCGGTGGGTGTGTTTTGCTCGGGGAGAGAGGCGAACTAGGTTATCCCCCCTTGAGGATTAATTTATCGCCCTCAGGACCGAGAATGCAAGTGATTTGTCCCTTCGTGGAGGGATGGTGAGGCATACATTGCCAAGCAAAAGAACATTATGCCACGCTTGAATGTTTTCCGGAGCGTCACTGACCCTTTCCAGAAGATTACAGAGTTTGGCTGCTGCACTTGGGCGGGCTGCTTATGGGATGTGTGGTAATGTTCTGCCAGACGTCGCTATGATCGCTTGAGTGAGGTTCTCAGATGAGATTAAGTTAATGGGAGTGTCTTCTCTAACTGTTAATGGCAGCTGGCCATTGCTTCCCTTTAGAGGCTGGTGGGAGTCTTCTGCATCTTGCCTCTTTGAGGGTGTGTAGGCGACTGCTCCCGTTACTGTTTACGGCGGTGTTTTTATTGCATAGTCGGTAACAACCTCTTTTAGGGGTAGTTGTTGGCACCTCAAGGCTTGTGGAGTCCTGCCCGACCGCTGGGACCCCTTCCATTTCAACTCAGTTGAGAGAGTTAAACTGTGCATTATTCTACAGTGGGGAACAAACATACTGGGTCATGGTCGTGTTGGCGGGTGTAGCGGTTATGTCAGCTGGGTGTAGATATATATATATATATATATATATATATATATATATATATATATATATATATATATATATTATATATATATATATATTATATATATATATATTGTCGAGGCCAATCTGGAGTATGAGAGGCTCAGGTCTCAGGTGTTAGGTTCCCAGGGAATGATGTAAACAAGTATGAAAACAGCAGCTGACTCTGATGTGCCAGCAATATAATCTCGGTCCTGACGATAATTTCTCGTATAGTTCCTCTAACTTCAACCTAACCTTCATAAGGATATTTTACATACAATGAAACTCTTCGGAAGCTGTTTTATGAATCTTATCTAAATCACGTTTCACGAGTGTCGACAAATTGTGACTATATTTATAAGTAATTTATTCTTGATATATATATATATATATATATATATATATATATATATATATATATATATAATATTGTTACGGAGCCCCCCCCCCCTCCTATTTCTCCCTAAATCCGACTTTAAGAGTCATATCCGCTGACCCTGCCGATTTCTTGAGGTGCTGGGAGTCTTTTGATATATGAGGCGACCAGATTGAACACCTAATTAGGGAGAAATTTGTTTGATAAGTTTGTAGATAAGGGATGAACCCTTTCCAACGCTTGACTGCTGTAAAGGGTTCTCCTTCGGCTTCGGGTTGATTTTGATAAGTAGTTCGGTAGTCTTCTTTGTTTTGTAGAATATGATCAGGTCTATGTTTTGGTTAGGAGTAATGTTTTTTTACGGATTATTTCTTCCATTATTCTTTCTTGAACAATAGATATAGCAACACGGAAATAAACACTGCTAGAAGAAGACACCTGGACCGATGGTACAATCCTGAACCTAGAACAGAAACCCCAACACCTCCAATGGTTATATTACAAATCAACTATGCACAGTGAACATAAAAAAGAAGAAAGAATAATGAAGGAAATAATCCGTAAGGAGTAAAAAGCATTACTCCTAACCAAAACATAGACCTGATCATATTCTACAAAACCAAGAAGACTTCCGAACTCATCAAAAACAGCCCGAAGCCGACGGAGAACGCTCTACAGCAGTCAAGCGTTGTATACATGTACACTTGCCCCCATGAAGGATGTAACCTTCAATTTAGGTACATAGGTGTGACGTCGACCAAGCTGACGAGGCGTTTGACCTGTCATCTTCAATCCGGTGGCCCCAGGAATCACATGAGACAAGCCCATGACATCACCCTAACAAGAGAAATACTGAATATAAACACTTGTATAATAGACAAAACCCAAGATGCAAGAAGATTACAAATTCTTGAAGCAATCCACATAAAAATAGAACAACCTACCGTGAACACCCAAATCACGGAACTATTTACTCTACCCATCATGAGAGTAAGGACAAGACGGGAACATAACGATGCCAACATAGAAGACACTGCTCGACGAACAGCACCTACTACACTTGATTAATCTTTGTGTTTTGTACCCTACATATAAATATAAATATATATATATCGTTTCATTTTCCTAGTAGATACTTACGTATAACTGATTAGCTGTGGGGAAGATACCGGGGGGGGGGGGGGGGGGGGGGAAGGAGGCGCAGGATGGTGAAGGGAATAGTGACCATAAATGCTCCCATATACTAACACTCTCTACGCACTATATATATATATTCTTTCGTCTTTCTTCTTTTCGCCTGTCTGGATATCACCTAAGATGATATATATATACTCCCTTCAGAGCCCCTCCGCCTCTCATTTGCTATCACCCGGACTGTGTCTTGTTTACCAGCCGCTGGGAAGGCACCAGGTGTGTGTGTGTGTGTGTGTGCGTGCGTGCCAGACACGGACAGGCAGGTTATAAAGGAAACTGTGTGCCGTGAGCTGTCTGTTTATCTCTCAACTTTGGTGAGTAATCAGCTGCTACTCCAGTTACTCTATTCCTTCTTTCGGGTGTTTATTGTAAGTTTTGCCTTCAAGAGGCACTGTATATTTGTGTCATGGTTCCGGGAAGATCTATTTCGCTGACGGGATTGGTATTATTATTATAAATTAATTTGATGTTAGTTATATTTAGCTACGCAATGTGTTTTTGTGCGCAGCGAACGCCAAGGTAAAGGACTGGGGTACGAAAGGACTTACCAACCTGTACGAGAATCACCAGCGATACTTTCCCTCCCGCCAATCACACGACGAAACTACAACGTTGCTACAACATTCGAGCACGGTTTAACCCTTAACAATTGTAACAACCAATATAGCAAGTTGTAACAACCTTCTAATTCGTCATAAAATCGTCTATATCAAGATGTTACATTATTACAAGATGTAACAAGGAAATCATAGGAACCGTTATGTTGTGTGTTAAATATAAGCAAGACTAACTCTTGAAACCAAAAATGTTGTTGAGTCCCTTCCCACGTAGGAGAGAGAAGAGTATGATGAGCAAGCGGCTTGTTTGTGGAGTCCCTTCCCACGTAGGAGAGAGAAGAGTATGATGAGCAAGTAGCTTGTTTGTGGATAACACTGTCGTGTTGTATCAAGCGTACCACACTTTGTACCCTGTATCAGAGACTACCAACTGCCGTGGTGCTGCCCATCTGTATACGACCACTTACCGTGTGCCTGTATACGACCACTTACCGTGTGCCTGTATACGACCACTTACCATGTGCCTGTATACGACCACTTACCATGTGCCTGTATACGACCACTTACCATGTGCCTGTATACGACCACTTACCATGTGCCTGTATACGACCACTTACCATGTGCCTGTATACGACCACTTACCATGTGCCTGTATACGACCACTTACCATGTGCCTGTATACGACCACTTTACCATGTGTCGGTATTAATTCGTGTGTGTACTTATTTGTGCCTGCAGGATCGAGCATTGACTTTCGGATCCCGCCTTTCTAGTCGCCGGTTGTTTAAAGCAATGACGCCTATCCTTCTTTCCTATCATATCTAGTTTTAAATCTATGAATAGTGTTTGCTTCCACAATGTGGTCCTATAGTTCATTTCATTTTACGTCTACTTTCACGCTAAAAAAAATCTATCATCTCTGAGTTATCTAAGTTTCCAGCGTCCACCCACGTCCCCCTTGTTCTGCGTGAAAATTTCGTCTATTTCCACTCTGTCAATCCTACTAAGTATTTTACATGTTGCTCTCATATCTCTTCGCTCCCTCTTTTTTTTTCTAGCGTAGTCAGGTACAGTGCCTTCAGTCGCTCTTCGTATCCCATCTCTCTCAACTCTGGGACGAGCCTCGTCGCAAACTTTTCTGAACCTTTTCTAGTTTCCAAATGTGTTTCTTCTTCTGGAGGCTCATGATGGGGCTGCATACTCTAAGACTGGTCTCACGTAGGCAGTGTCAAGTGCTCTAAAGGCCTCCTTGCCTAGGTTTCTGAATGACGTTCTAACTTTTGTTAGCGTGCAATACGCTGCTGTCGTTATCCGATTTATATGTGCCTCAGGAGTTAGATTTGGTTTTTACATCCACTCTCATGTCCCTTTCTCAAATCGTCACAGGAAGGTAGTTTCCCTTCGTTGTGTACTGACCCTTTGGTCTCCTATCACCTAGTCCATAATTTTACACTTGCTCGTGTTCAACTCCAGTAGCCATTTCTCTGATCATCTCTACAGCTTGTTCAAGTCCTTTTGGAGGATCCTACAATCCTCGTCTGTCACAATTCGTCTCATTTATTTCGCGTCATCCGCGAACATCGACATATTGGACTCGAGTCTTGTAGACATGTCGTTCACGAATATAAGAAACAGAACTGGTACCAGCACCGACCCTTGATCTACTCCACTTGTTGCTATTGTTGTTTAAGATTCAGCTACCCAGAACAAAAGTTCCAAGTAGCACGGGCTATGGTGAGCCCGTAGTGAACTTTGGTGTGCTTCACTCATTGTGGTTCGCCAGTCAGACTTCTCGCCCACGTGTGTGTTTTACTATTTGTGCCTGCAGGACCTGATTTATCTTCTATGCTAAAACCTTTTAAAAGTTGCCTTTTCCATTCCCGCTAGTTCCTTTTAATATATTTCGATGACAAACCTACCGTCCATGGAACCCATCTTCTAGGTTGATTCTAGTGACAAGACATAGTGACAACCACGCACTATTGATAATTCTTCCTACTGCCAGACATACAGCCAGGATGTGTCTAGCATAAAAAGGTACAAGGTTTCTTGCTTAAGGTAGGCCAATGCTCAGGCACCTGTTTGATCTCTATAGATCAAGGCACGTGTTGAACTATAGAGGCCGATGCACAAGTGCCTTGTAACCTTAAGGGTAGCAAGGGTGCCTTGCTACCTTAAGCAAGAAGCCTTGTAACTTTGTATGCTAGAGATCAGCAGGCCGATGCTCTATAGCACATGCTGAAGTCCGATCTAAGTAATTACTATACTGAGTTAGTGAGGCATCTTTGAAATGAAGAATAGGAAAACGACAGGATCTGCTCTCTCTTTTCCTTAAAGATCTATCATTCTATATCCCTCCCTCTATCCTTCAACCTATGCCTTTTAATTTAATTCAATGTATCAAATTCATTCCTCCCCTCCCTACCTATACTTCACAGGTCAGTGAGTAACAGTAAGATTCATCGTGATGCTGTCTCGAGCTGCTGCGGTGATTGTGCTGTGTCTGGGGTTTGTGGCTACTGCTCCAGGTCAGTGAGTTGCACCTTCGACTCTTGAGAGTTTTTCAAAGTCATTTCACAGGATCTTATATGTTCCCAATTAAGTACATAGCATTCAATTTGTAGGAAGGATACAAAATTTAATCATCTATGATTGAGCTTTTTAGCAGAGGAAGCCAGATTTAGAGGAAAATATCGTGAAATGATTTTGAATAAATAACGTCGTATAGTTTAAACTTGGACCAGAGACTTCAAAGAAACCGCCAAAGTAAGAACCTTTTATAACCATGTTTTACAGAAATTATGGATTCTTCACGGCAAGAATCCTAATTTCTGTGCTCACTCACGTGCGTGTCCAATAAATTAAATTATTGCTTCGTCCAACAACGAAGTAAAATTTCCGTGACGACTAGATGGTTCCCGTCCGGGATAAAAAAATTCTAGGAAGATGAGTATAATTTTCCGTTTTAAGTCTTCGATCAGTGATTATTTGGTCAGTCAATACGCATCATATTTTGGGGGAATGTACGTGCGCGTGTTAATGACTTGCATATGAAAATTTATAGAGATATCTTATGTAAGAATCACGTATAAACAAGCGCGTTTTCCTTACGAGTGAGGGAACAGTTAACACGTGTTCGTCGCCCCTCTCCTTCCAGGGCCCAAGGATGACAGTTTGAACCACTACCTGGATCTCATGCTCGACAACTTGGAGGTCCTCATCATAGAGAACGGTCTTGACCCTACGCCTCTCCCTAACGGCACAGTGGGCTTCAGCGATGTGGTGAGCCAAGCTTACTTGTATAGGGTTATTCTGGGGCTTCATCGATATGGCGACATATGCGAAATGTTAATATTTCAAATAAAGTCTACTCGCATCTTGGTATTTCTTTACAGTCAGAGAAAAGAGATTAGGTAGTTCAGTATCTTTGGGAAACTTAAGCCGAAATATTTCCTTTGGGAGCAACAATTAGTTGGTTTAAAAGTATAATTATTTCTGGGCTAGTTAGTTCCTTTGATGCAGCTCCAAGTTCAGCATTGTTTAGCGTCACAGATTAATAATGATTTTAAAGCATCGCCATAAAGCCTCGACCGACTTAAATCGATGCCTCAAATCACTAGCAGTATAATCTAAAGAAGACTAAATAAAACGTTTATAATATATCCAAATTTCTCCTCTGATTCAGTGGCTACCAATTCTTGATAATATTTTAGTAAGACAAAGCTACAAATATTATATTATGTAACCAGTCTTCCATTATGCTAGTATGTGTCATTAGGCAGCATATTACAGCATTGTTAATGATGTTTATGGTAGAGTGGAAGCCCTGGGGATCTCTATGATACCAGAGGCCCAACCTCCTCGACCTTTCACCTCCCGGGAAAAGATACAAAAAAAAAAAACTCTCCACTTAAGACTGGTCATTGCTTATAACACCAAAAAGTTATTTTTTACATGTTTTGCCATCAGTTTAATTTATCTGAGATGTGGCAAATAAATTCAAAATTTATTTATCCAAAAATATAACATTCATATATAGCAGATATTACATTCAAGGCATTTATTGTAAAGTGTGGTGCAAGTAAAGTGCGTGTGTTGCAGGTGTTGGGGGTGACGTGGCAGGGGGAGGCGGCGGTGTATGACGGCAGTCTTCGAGGCCTCTCCTCCATCTACCGCACGGGAGACGCAGAGTTCCTCCACGACGGCAATGGTTTTATAAACGGCATCTCTGCCAATCTGGGCCTCGGTGACATGGAGGTAGGTTGGCGCTTGTGTGTGTGTGTGTGTGTGTACGTACTCACTTTGTTGTATTCACCTAGTTGTGCTTGCAGGGGTTGAGCTTTAGCTCTTTGGTCACGCCTCTCAACCGTCAATCAACAGGTGTACAAGTTCCTGAGCCTATTGGGCTCTATCATATCTACACTTGAAACTGTGTATGGAGTCAGTGTGTGTGTACGTGTGTACGTGTGTACGTGTGTGTGTGTGTGTGTGTGTGTGTGTGTGTGTGTGTGTGTGTGTGTGTGTGTGTGTGTGTGTTCGTGTGTGTGTGTGTGTGTGTGTGTGTGTGTGTGTGTGTACGTGTGTGTGTGTGTGTGTGTGTACGTGTGTGTGTGTGTGTGTGTGTGTGTGTGTACGTGTGTGTGTGTGTGTGTGTGTGTGTGTGTGCGCGCACGCGCTCCAATTTTTTTAGATCAAGTATATGTCTTCCTCTTTTCCTTAGTCTCTCGTCACTTTCCTCGTGCACGTCATGATAAATGTTCTACTCTCACAGGCTCACTACACGCTTCTGGCGGAGTTCATGGACCTGGGACCTGTTGCAGATGTCGTGGTTGATATTAACGGAGCCTCCATATACTTTGAGGCTTCCCTTGATCGGACAACGTGTCATTTTCACGTCTCTATTATGGAAGTCACCGACATCGGGTGGGTTGCTGGGCGCTGGAGATTTGCCAGGAATCCTGACTATAATCCCTTAAGAATCAGATATCAATGACCAGGCTTGGCCACCTAGCGATAAAGAAACACAGTGAAACGTCCTCTTGAACAGTTGTGAAATCATATAACGTTTGGAGCCATTAGTTTAAATGATAAACAAACATATTATAAACTTATCACAAACCTGTCACAAACTTCATATTAAACTTCATTTAATATGAAGTTTGTGGTCGTCTGTTCTGTCATACTCATTGCTTCGTTTCTTTCATATAAATTTTTATGCATTTTTTCGACAGCCGCCAGTCTTATCTCCCTAAATTCTCTTGTCTCCCTAAATTCTCTTATCTCCCTAAATTCTCTTATGTGTGTGTTACAGGCACATCAGCGTCAACATAACCGGACTGGGACTTCTCGACTGGATTGTAGAAATCGTGGTCGACCTGGTGGTGAACATCATAAAGGGTTTCATCAAAGACACAGTAGAGGGAGTCATTCTGAACCTCACCAACCAAGTCCTGGACGGCCTTGACCTCGGCGTCCTCGGCCCTCTCATCGGCTGTGATGCAGTAGCTCATCCCTTCATCCAGCCCCGGCTTGTGCACGCTAAGTAAGATGCTTTGGGCGGCCCCTAGGACAGGAGGATGGCTGGGGGAGTCACACTTACTGATCTTCCAGCTGTAAAACGATGGTTCAATGAAGTAAAGTGAAGCAGTAAAGTTACATAAATAAGTAGTTTGTTTTCCTGTTTTGTTTTGTTTCTTATCTGTGAGAACTCATGGAAATATGACGATGGTACCAATTGTGAGCGTTCACAAAGTGAGAGATGCTTGTCACTTTAATTGAAGTTTAAAACATGGTAAATTAAAGGAAAATCAAATGTGAAATATATTCAACGTTAGCATTACACTGTTTCTTACTTTCATGTAGTGGGATACATTTTCCCCGAGTAGATATGAGAGGAATAAGAAAAGATGAATAAAATAACACCAATCAATTCACCTATGTTCACCAGCACTAAGGACTTAACCAGTCCCCGTGGTGAAGTGGTAAGACACTCGCCTGGCGTTCCGCGAGCGCTTTGTCATGGGTTCGTATCCTGGCCGGGGAGGATTTACTGGGCGGAAATCCTTAACTGTAGCCTCTGTTAACTCAACAGTAAAATGAGTACTTGGTTGTACCAACGATTCTTCGCGGCAGGGGATCGTATTCCAGGGACCTGCCCGAAACGCTACGCGTACTAGTGGCTCTACAAGAATGTAACAACTCTTGTATATATCTGATAAAAAAAATAATCACCACCACCTACACATTCCTTAGATCTTCCACAGCAGGACCGCAGCTGCGAAGTAAAATAATTCTGAACAAAACTGTAAATTATTCACTAACCCGTTAACTGCTTCTACTCATCTTGGATCACCAAAACTCATCACACTCGGGACATTCTTCATAACACTCTCACATCATCTTGACTTTCCTCTCCAGCGCTAAGAGTATTATGAATACACTTTGTTACTTCATGACACATTATGCACTCGTTTAATATACATGATCCTTGCACATGCATAAACTCCATGTCTTTCTTTAGTGTTTATATCTTATTATGTCTGGTGCCTGAACACCACCCTAGCTCCCCGGTCTCGACTGTTCTTATTTCTTCTTTGAAATGATCTTGTCACTCCACCGCTTCTAACCCGTACATAATGTTTGGTACAGCCATTATGTACGCAGTAACAGCCATTATGTATGCATTATGTTATGCTATCTTGTTTGTCCAAACCAGGACTCTCCTTGTCCAGCCACATCACTTCCCAGACAACACTGCACTTAATAATGTCGTTAACTTAGCTGTGTCTTGCATGCCATCCTCTTGTGTTTTGGCAGAGAGGGCCATGCCAGTACTTGTCGGTCACTGCCTCGCCGCAAATACACCTGTATTCGGTGTGGATTGGGGCAGCGAGGTGGAGAGAGCCACAGCAATTCGGAGGTCCTGCCGTGTGAGACGTGAGCCGGTTGCTGACATTGGGGTTACTAATAGGAAGTCCCCTGCATGGGGAGCTGCTACAGCTCTAAGTTGGGCAGTGTCATGTAGTGTTGTCGCAGTTTCTAGGCATGTTGCAACTGCTTGGTTGACAATGGGGCGATCCCAGCTGGATTGTTTTGAGCTTCAGAAGGTCGGGGTTGGGGTGCTGGTCCTGCAAGGGAGACCCATTTTGGCAGACCTTAAAGCTGGGATCTCGTACCGCTGCCTGTTGACCTAGGTCATCAGGTAGGATTTCCTTTACCAGGTTATCAGATGCCATTGAAGAGGACAGGAATGCTGGTACAGCAACTTGTGTTGCTGTGCGCACGCCAAGGCCCCCCGAGTCTGACAGGACGGGAGGCCTGTTTCCACTGTGAGTCGTTGAGAGAAAGGTTGAGGGCTTTTTTTCTAACATGCTTTTTTCAATGCTGAATATATATTCACTGCCCGACAGCTCCCCATATTTATATTTATATGTAATATATATATATATATATATATATATATATATATATATATATATATATATATATATATATATATATATATATATATATATATATATATATATATACGATCAACACATAAACCGTACTGCGTACGTTTGGGGGTGATTATGGGTTCGAATCCTGACCGGGTCAAATAGCAAATCAAATCCTGACCGGGCCAAGAGAGAGAGAGAGTGAGTGAGTGTCTAAGCTGCACAATACACAAGCGTCTGCAGGATGAGTATTAGCTGCACAACACACTAGTTCTTGCTGGATGAGTACGAGGTGCACAACACACTTGCCACAGCTACCGACACATAACATAGTTCCCAGGTGAAGAAGGAGACCGCCTTATCCAAAGGATGTGAAAGGCGGTGTGTAAATGGGTGTCGAGGCTATAGTGATTGTAGAGAAGGAAGGGACCACTATCACGTCACTTTCACTAGTGCTAGCACCAGCAAGTTGCCAGAGAGGCTCATTATCACATCACTCTCTCCCATATCAGCGCCAGCAGGTTTCCAAATTAAACAATCCAGGTGGATGTCCGTTATGTCCTTCCCGGTTATTAGGACCACAGCTGCGACGGTTCATATATCATACAGGACCACAGCTGCGACGGTCCAAACATCATACAGAACCACAGTTGTGACGGTCCAAACATCATACAGAACCACTTCTGCGACGGTCCAAACATCATACAGAACCACAGTTGTGACGGTCCAAACATCATACAAAACCACAGTTGTGACGGTCCAAACATCATACAGAACCACAGCTGCGACGGTCCAAACATCATACAGAACCACAGACAATCTACGCTACTTTCCAAAGGACACCAGACAATCTTTGCTCCTTTCCACAGAACTTCAGATGACCTGCTCTGCCTTCCTCTGGGCCCCAAACTATTTACTTTACCTTCCACAGGCTCCCCATTGTTTCCATTATCTCCTAAATCTAGTAGGATCTAAAGAGTGGCGTTTCATATCCTTTGCAGAATCCTATCGATTACGTCTAATACATCCTTCATGATCTACTTGATGTCTAAAATCTTCCACAGAACACACGGGGCAGTACATGCTGAACCTGAAGACCCTTTTTTGACATTTGAGTTTTGATTTTTGGAATGATTGTATATTTTGTTATGCCTCAGTCACCCACACACTGCAGTCTGTTATGTCATGACCCCCAAGTATGGCTCGTGGTATACACACCTTCCCCCACATACTCAATGAGGAGCTCTCTTGACTTAAAGCAAATCACAAATTTAATAGTCCAGAGTGAATAGTGAAGTGTTACCAGCACTTCAGAGATAAAGTGAAAGTCTAGAATAAAAGCCACCAGTTTACTGGAGTGAACCGAGTCTACATAACTATAGCTATTTACACCTCAATATACACATGTGGTGTATATATCTACACCACAACAAAGTTAATAATCATCATATAATAAAGTTTATCATTAACTTTATATCATCATATCATATAATAAAGAGGCACTATTCACTGCAGCTATATGTTACTAAGTTAACAAGGTAACAAAACTTAACAACATGGGTACACTAGACAACGAATGAAGTGCATATAAGTTGTGGTCAAAGTAAATCAATGGTGACGTTATTCAAAAGCAAAGTCATTACGGTCTAATCAAAATTAAAGTCTCGGGAGACTCAACAACAATCAAGTAACCAGAAAGGGGCAACTTATCATTAGCATGAACAAGCAACAAGTCACAAACTAAACACTTTTCCCACCAAAAATTTAACTCCCAACTGGATTGGCAAATGGCAAAGTCAAAGTTCCAATCCCACATGACGAAGAAAATGTATATAATAACAATAACAAATCACCGTAATTTAATAAACATTATTAATTGACCCCCACAAGCATTGACTAACCCCGAGACGCAAACACACACACACACACACACACACACGCACGCACACACACGCACGCACACGCACACACACACATGCATGAGGAAGTGATGTGGTAGAGGCTGACTCCATACACAGTTTCAAGTGTAGATATGATAGAGCCTAGTAGGGTCAGGAACCTGTACACCTGTTGATTGACAGTTGAGAGGCGGGACCAAAGAGCCAGAGCTCAACCCCCCGCAAGCACAACTAGATGAGTATACACACACAAACTGGCCAGCTCACACGTCATTCAAACAAGCATGTCACAAAGACCCAAAACAATACATCAAAATATTAAATACAGATATACACACCCAAAAATATATACACACCCAAAAATATATACACACCCACAACGTGTATAATAATATAGCGATTACTTCACAAAACATATAAATAAATAATGCCATATGTACAAATGGTTATCTTGAGGTTATCTTGAGATGATTTCGGGGCTTTTAGTGGTCCCCGCGGCCCGGTCCTCGACCAGGCCTCCACCCCAGGAAGCAGCCCGTGACAGCTGACTAACACCCAGGTACCTATTTTACTGCTAGGTAACAGGGGCATGGGGTGAAAGAAACTTTGCCCATTGTTTCTCGCCGGCGCCTGGGATCGAACCCGGGACCACAGGATCACAAGTCCAGCGTGCTGTCCGCTCGGCCGGCCGGCTACGCTGGCTCATAACAACGTCGCTCTTCATCATCCTGGGTGTTGAAAGTAACAGTATTAAAGTTACAAGTTAAGATGTATATTAACAGATCTGATATACATTCAAATAATAACCATTCAATAAAAGTGCTGCAAGTGCTCATACCGACATATGAAGCACTGAAGCAACATGACTCTATTGATGCACATAATGTGAGTCAGAAGGTTGCTCTAAACCTGACAACCTGTATGGCAAGCCACTCAGTGTGTTACAAGTCTGTATGGCAAGCCACTCAGTGTGTTACAAGTCTGTATGGCAAGCCACTCAGTGTGTTACAAGTCTGTATGGCAAGCCACTCAGTGTATCTAGAGCCTGTAAGACAAATTACTGAATATGTTGTTTAGAATATAAAAAAACTGACCTGATGCGAACACTGTTCTCCTGTTGTATGTCACTGTTGAAAGTAATAAGGCTTTCGGACACAAATACAAATTTAAAACGATCCTTTAATATATATCTTTTTCAATGAAATATAATACAATGGGGCTTGTCACTATTTATTGTTCAGAACATCAGGTCAATAAATTTAGATTGTTTACCATTAACAAATACCTAACTTGTCACTGTGTACAGTGACCAAGTTTGGTGTCGGCTGCCACATTGTCTTAGAAATCTCACTTAAATTTAAAGTATTCGTGTGTTAAAGAGACAGCATGCAATTCAACCTTGACCAAACACAAAGGAGGAGGGTAATGCTGTAAGAGTTTAAATGAAATCCATATGGTCAGTGAGCCTTGCTGTTGCTTGACACCAATCACCATTTACCTGTTCCACAGTGATTACTTAATTAAAAGTCTCACAATGAAAATAGGAAGACAAGATCCCGAGCATTTGCCTTATATTAGGTACTTCATCTTCGGGGTCAGGAGCCTCTCAGGTGAAGAGAACTATGTACACTTATTAGTCTTGATTTCTTTCCTTACTTGAATAAAAGCATATTAATTCGAATTATTTTTATCATCTACAGAAATTTGGATTATTTAAATAGTATTACAACTCGTCCTCATCTTTAATATGTACGTGCCTAAACTAATATTGTTATTACAGAATACGTGTTTATTTTTAACGTTTAAAACTTCCATGAACACATTCTTGGTGGGATATAAAGACTAGCTCATAATGTAGACCTTTATCTCGCTCATCTGTAATCTGATTAAGTCAATGAAATTTTACTGCCGAGAAGTAGCGCCACAGACCTCCATCATTGAAACATAACAGGTATATCAGAAATTAACGTGATGTGAAGGTAGGCTTATAAGTATCTGTGAGGAGAGTGTGGAGGAGTGGGACTAAGAGCTGATCTCTTATCTTCCTTATTATAATTACAAAACATACACATACTCAAGGCCGTGTATTAGTAATGACCCGGCAACACTAGTCTCAGTATACACGTGTGGGTGGGCCCGCGGGTGTTTGCATATACTGGGAAAGTTCCTAACACATTTGCGTGTTTCCGATAAGCTCATATCTCGGGTCAAACACAAAGACGTTAAAGTTTTTCAGAATGTTGATCTGCTTAGTTACGTCTGGGAAGCCTAACAACTGCTCCTACTGAACTAAACACTAAGGATCATGATAGTTACAATCTCGGTCTCGTAAGGACAGGCACATAGTATGGCCTCCATGAACGCATTCATGAGTAGGAGAGTTAACTATATAAACGTCTGTAATTAGGACCTTCCGTCATCATTTCCGGCCGAGAACATTCCTCCTCGCTAGGAAGGAAGGCGGCCCACGCGTCCTGGAGAAAGCCTCTAGGTGTTCCTTATGCTAGCCATCAAACTAATACCTGAGCATCACCATCAGAAGCCTAATGCTTCATGTCGCGAAGATGAACCACCAAAGCTTCTCATTTCTTGTTATTCAGGCGTGATTATTAGAGCCTGAAGACATAGTAGATGCTAAACAACATACGGAGAAGGATGCTGATTCCTCGTTTGTTTGCCTTCCTGAGAGCGGGAGGGGTATATAATAGGTGTGGGCGGCGCCAGATCGGTGTCAGGCGTCGACGTGAAGCACGAGTCGCTCACTATCAAGCTGCTGGAGGTATTGGGAGGACCCGAACACATAGTCTTGGACTCGGAAGAAGTTATTCTAATTTGTTGATTGTGACCATGTTACGTTAGCGACGGGTATTTTGGCGACCTTTAAGTGCTCAACGTTACGAAAGGCATCGAGCTATGAATGAATTATTTTCATTGTAAGAAAAATCATTCAAGGAAGATATGCTGCTAAAATTGTTGAATTTGTTGGCATTGGTGGTGTTGGTGAGAGAGGGTCGTGGCGAGGCAAGCAGCGACAGCACTGATGGCACCAGCACAGCTCCAGATGGTGCACCTCCCGGCCTCCATATCCAGCCCGTGCCAGCTTCCCTCTCAAATCAAATGGCCAGGACTAACCCAGACGACTGTGGTGATGTACCCTCAACCACGACTGTGAGGCGAAGTGTGGAGGACGTGACGTCCCTCTCGCTGGGGGAGGATAGTGACACGCTGAAGCAACTGGCGCTAGACACGACTCTCACCATCCAAGGACGAAATGCTTCAAGAAAAGGTAGGAACTGCTGGAGTTTGCCTGTATTACTTTGTGGGCTTAACAACTTATAAGTTACATATTGTTTAGTAATAATGGTGTTCAATACAGGCGATGAGTCACAATAACGTGGCAAAATTATGTTGACCAGACCACACACTAGAAGGTGAAGGGACCACGACGTTTCGGTCCGTCCTGGACCAATCTCAAGTCGACTGCCAATGCACAATCGACTTGAGAATGGTCCAGGACGGACCGAAACGTCGTCGTCCCTTCACCTTCTTGTGTGTGGTCTGGTCAACATGGTGTTCAATATTTGGATCTTCAATCAAATATTGGCCAGCATGCCTTAAATATATCACATCCTCACGGACAGTAATACAGATCGGTAAAGTCTCTCATTTAACGAACTAGTCTCTCATTTAACATAAGTCAAATTTCATTTGATGATGAGGGACTCCAAGTTTTTTATCCAGTACTTCAAAAGTCCACCACTGAATACCCTCAAAGAGTACATACACCACCACTCCTGAATCTTTCTCCAAGATGTTTTGGGAAGGAGAAATTACAGACGTGCTTTAAGATTAATTAATCTTTATTTCCCACGAAAACAATGTGTAACTTTTATTATAAAATTAAATGATGCCAGAGGGAGGTGGATTGCTGGATGCTAGTAAATGTTTCCTTGCTACATCTAGTCTACCTTACCTAAGAGAACAATGTCTCGTAACTCGAGACATTGTTCTCTAAGGTGTTGTAGCGCGAGTCATTGTTCTTTAGGGTGTTATAGCTTGATAAATTCTGTCCTAGGTCGTTGTCAACTGAAGTATTAGTCTGTCTGTCTCTCATAGTCCTGCCCGAATAATTAAAACCCGTCACCCATTCTTCCCTCACAGTACAAGCCACCCTTCCCTTCCTGTCACGTGGTCCACCCCCCCCCCCTCTCTCACACCGCCCCTCCTTCTTAACATCAAAGGATCCCTAGCACCATAGGACAACACCCTAACCCCCCTACCCCCTTCCCCACCCCCTCACCCTCCCCCCCTCCTCCTTCCCCCCTCCCCCTTCCCCCCTCCCCCCTCCACTGGCTCTCCAACACTTATTCCCCCCACTCCGGCTCCTTCCCCTCCCCTAGCACAATAGTCTCTCACAGGGAGGGAGGGAACAGCAGGATATCCTTTTCCTTAATTAAATATTGAATAAAGATCTGCTTACTAAGTAACTGTTCAGAATGTGGCTTTTAACTTGTTGGTTGTTGATCAAGTAATTTTCTTTTTTATTCACATTAAAGGAGTCCAACTACTTGGGCTGGACGGTAAAGCGACGGTCTCGCGTCATGCAGGTCGGCGTTCAGTCCCCCCGACTGTCCAAGTGGTTGGGCACCATTCCTTCCCCTCCCCCCCCCGTCCCATTCCAAATCCTTATCCTGACCCCTTCCCAGTGCTATATAGTCGTGATGGCTTGGAGCTTTTCCCTGCCATTTCCCTCCCTTCCCTCACATTAAAAGAGAAACTATTGGTAATTTTTCTGCTTCTTTTATCATTATATTCACAACCCACGATGAAGCACTCACTACTGCAGTGCTCGACCCATGATCAAGTACTCGCCACAGTAGTACTCCAACCCACGATACAGTCCTCACAACAGTGGTCCCCGTTTTGCTTTGCTACGTGTGAAATATGTGATGCAGTACGATCTATAATTGTATTCTGTATTTAAATTACCCTTCAAAACACCTAAACGCAATTTGCAGCTCGTGAATCTAAGAGACGGTGTCACCCCATGGATGCACAGAGAAGGACTCTGGCACAGTGATGGCCGGTCGGCCGAGCGGACAGCACGCTGGACTTGTGATCCTGTGGTCCTGGGTTCGATTCCAGGCGCTGGCGAGAAACAACGGGCAGAGTTTCTTTCACCCTATGCCCCTGTTACCTAGCAGTAAATAGGTACTTGGGTGTTAGTCAGCTGTCACGGGCTGTTTCCTGGGGGTGGAAGCCTGGTCGAGGACCGGGCCGCGGGGACACTAAAAGCCCCGAAATCATCTCAAGATAACCTCAAGATGGCACTGAAAGGGTGCCTGACATGCCTTATACTCGTACCTAAATCCAAAATTTCAGCAATAATTATACTTCTTACTGACACTCATGTACTGACAACGAACACCACAGTCTCAGTGCTCTGCGTTGTGACGTTTAGCAGTTAGGGGTCTCTGAATATGGCTAGAGAAAGCCAGGTAACATATAAAGTAATACTGATTGACCATATACCCCAATTTTGTATGCTACATAACAAAATCAAATATTAAATTATATCATAAAATATTAACAATGCAATTATTGTCCTTGAGGAAATACATCAGTGGTTACATAGTAAGAAAGAAACCTATAAAAACTTAAGTTAGACGGGTGGACAGAGAGCACACAGAGGGAAGTGTGTCTGGGGACCATTAATGTGTATTTAGAAGCCATAACGACGACACTTTCCCGCAGGAGTCGAACAACGTGGAGCCGACAGGAGACCCGACGAACACGGTTAATGTAAAAAGGGGGGAACGTGGGGAATGGCAGGGGGAGGAAGGTGAGGAATGAAATGTTAAAACTTCCCTAATCCAAGCCCAACCTTCAGGACGTCAGTGAAGGATGTAATGACAAACGAACTCTAAACATAATCCTGTGCCTCTTCCTCGCCTGCAGAAGGGCTTGGAGAAGGACATGATCTCTCATCCCCACACGTAGACGCCCAGGGAGTAGACAGCAAGCATGATAAAATCATCATTTACTTAATCATCATGCTCTCTCTACATTAGGTAGTTGGCTCTTTAACAGAGTTCAGATATTAGATGCAGGAAATAGTAAAATGAATAAAGAAATATTTAAGGTATGTGTGTTTCCTGCAGTGGCGAACACAGTGGGTGTGATTACAGGAATTGATTGATTGATGAACATTAAGCTACCCAAGAGGTGGCACGAGCATCAATGGCCCGTAAGTGGCAGATTTTTTTGGGGAAGTGAATGTGATGATTAGAGGGCGTGTGGTGTGTGATTTATTGTCTGTTGATAGATGATGGAGAGCGTCACTTAACGTGTTGTTTCAGGTCCTGCGTTCCACTGCGATGAGTTTATCAACAGTGATGACTTCTACCTCCACTCGCCCGGCTACCCCAACAACTATCCAGCCAAGTGAGTACATTATACCATTGTCTTCTGGTATCTGCGGGGGCTGTCACTACAGACCCGCACACTCCACTCACATGTAACTTTAAACAAAACAGTATTATTTATGGCTGCACTTTATATAAATAATTACAATTATGTTGTAGAGATAGCCTATTAATGTGTTGATTGAGTTTGTATTATTGCTTGTCTTCCATTCTCTCCTCATTAGTCTCGCGTATAAGTACAATTAAAGCTGTTTATCTGGTCTCTGTTTACCTCTTGCCAGCACGACGTGCAAGTACCAAATCTACCGCCGCCACCCTGACTACTGCGGCGTTATCTTCACGGTGCTCCGCCTCGACCTGGTCACACTCCCGAGACCAGATGATGACGACAACGAGATCCTGCAGGACGTGGGCGGGGCTGTGGGCGTGGCTGGGGCCAGGGACTGCCCTGGGGACACCCTAGTGATAAACGACGTGGTCCACTGTGGCAGGTACCAACGAGGCAAGACAGGTGAGCCGAGGACAAAACCCGTGGGAGGAAAATAAGGTAAATGTTGGGATAAACGAAGCAGATGGAGAAACAAGGCAAGGGGGAAGGAGGGACGAATCAGAATCAGATCAGATGTATATTTGATCTGCCGTCCTCTATATCAGGATCTGTGTCAGATTTGAATCCTTGTTACTAAATGGTCGTCCATAATGGTGTTAAACATCTGTCAGATCTTTTTGATAAAACCTTTACTTCAACCTTCTGGCAAGTGTACATAGTAAATATTACCGGAAGAAAAGTGTCTTGGCTGTGTATGGGTCTCCGGGTGTGAGCGAGGTTCTCGCCAGCATAGTACGAGCATGTAGAAGCTGTTCAAATATCAACTGTTGGCAATAAGTGTACATTAGCATTACTCCAAATCAACCGTCTCTCCCTCCCTCCCTCACAGCCACCTTCCTCTTCCCTTCATCCCTCATGACGGTGGAATTCCGAAGCGGTGAGAGCCACGGGGCATCAGGCTTCCTCCTGCAGGGGCGACAGGTGAAGAGGTGCCGTCAACCCAGGACCCTCGGTGCCCCTCTAGTCTCCTCTCTCTCCTGCGACAGGTAAGTCCTGACGGAGCGGTTTCTGCAGGATCTGCAGAGACCCCAGCCTCGCCTCTCGTGACTCTGCAGCCTTGCCTCTTGTGACTCTGCAGCCTCGCCTCTCGTGACTCTGCAGCCTTGCCTCTCGTGACTCTGCAGCCTTGCCTCTCGTGACTCTGCAGCCTTACCTCTCGTGACTCTGCAGCCTTGCCTCTCGTGACTCTGCAGCCTTGCCTCTCGTGACTCTGCAGCCTTGCCTCTCGTGACTCTGCAGCCTTGCCTCTCGTGACTCTGCAGCCTTACCTCTCGTGACTCTGCAGCCTTGCCTCTTGTGACTCTGCAGCCTTGCCTCTCGTGACTCTGCAGCCTTGCCTCTCGTGACTCTGCAGCCTTGCCTCTCGTGACTCTGCAGCCTTGCCTCTCGTGACTCTGCAGCCTTGCCTCTCGTGACTCTGCAGCCTTGCCTCTCGTGACTCTGCAGCCTTGCCTCTCGTGACTCTGCAGCCTTGCCTCTCGTGACTCTGTAGCCTTGCCTCTCACACGAAGAAATTAATACACAAATAATCTTTCCTGTAAAATCTACTGGTATATTGCACTCGATACCTCAACAAATTTGAGTACATTGTCACTTGAGGCTTGGTTTGGGGAGGGGGGGGGGACAGGCGTACTCTTCCTGGCCAAAGTCACTGTTAGGAAATTGTTTTCTTTAGCCAAGAATAAAGAAAATTGATCATTTACATAATTCAATAATACATAATTGATAATTGATCAATTACATAATATTGATCATTTACATAATTCCTGCTTATATTTTCGACGTCTCATTTTTCACAATGGTTGATTACAAATGATTACATATAATCAATGGTTGATTGAGTGTATTACAAGTTTGTTTATTAACTTCGACATAATCGATTCGTTTAAAGTTCCCTTCCTCACCTGCTTGCCCCCCATCCCTCCTCACTCACATGCAGACTGCTAGAGGGGAAGACTTTCCAGTTGAGGTCGCCAGGGTACCCAAGACAGTACGAGCACAACCTGGAGTGTCGGTACACCGTGCCCCGCGGCGGTGACTCTCTCTGCGGGGTGCAGCTGCTTGTGGAGGACTTCGATGTAGAGGACGGCAGCTGTATGTTCGACTACCTGGAGGTGCAGGGCCAGCGGCTGTGTGGTGGGCTCCAGCCAGGCTTTACAAGTACGTTGGTTGTGTGCTGCTTAGTTGGGTCTCCTGGCAGTCGGGAACACATTTATTTTCATCGACTGTCTGACCGTCTTAATCCTAGTCTCTCTCTCTCTCTCTCTCTCTCTCTCTCTCTCTCTCTCTCTCTCTCTCTCTCTCTCTCTCTCTCTCTCTCTCTCTCTCTCGCTGTCTCACACTCTCACTCTCTCACACACACTCACTCAGGCTGGAATAACAAGTAAGGTGATCCAGTTGATAAGTGAGTATCTAAGCAACAGAAAACAAGAGATGTTTTCAGAGTGGTGAGATGTCACCAGCGAAGTCCCACAGGACTCTGTACTTGGACCCATCCTGTTTCTGATATTTGTAAACGATCTTCCAGAAAGTATAGACTCATTTTTCTCAATGTTTTATGATGATGCAAAAATGAAGAGAAGAATCAAGACAGATGAGACTAAATATAGATAGAATGAGATTAAAAGACGACCTGAACAAACTGGATGAATGGTATTACACACAGAAATCACATTAGCGTGATGCATCCAATGAACAAATCCACAAGGGCCGTGACGAGGATTCGAACCTATGTCCAAGATCATCCCAGACGCTGCCTTTATCGACTGAGCTACGACATGGTCAAAAAGAGTTGAAACCGAAGTTTTACTGAACTTACTGAAACCTGCAGCCTCTCCGAGACACAAACCAGGGCTTTACACAACTTGACCATGTCGTAGCTCAGTCGATAAAGGCAGCGTCTGGGATGATCTCGGACGTAGGTTCGAATCCTCGTCACGGCCTCGTAGGGGGCCTCGTAGCCTGGTGGATAGCGCGCAGGACTCGTAATTCTGTGGCGCGGGTTCAATTCCCGCACGAGGCAGAAACAAATGGGCAAAGTTTCTTTCACCCTGAATGCCCCTGTTACCTAGCAGTAAATAGGTACCTGGGAGTTAGTCAGCTGTCACGGGCTGCTTCCTGGGGGTGGAGGCCTGGTCGAGGACCGGGCCGCGGGGACACTAAAGCCCCGAAATCATCTCAAGATAACCTCAAGATAACGGCCCTTGTGGATTTGTTCATTTGATGCATCACGCTATTGTGATCTCTGTGTGTAATGAAGTAAGGGCGAAGAGGGAGAACGGCCTATTGACATAGCTCGAGTGCATGGGGGAATTGCGTAAAACCCCTCTCTCTCTCTCTCTCTCTCTCTCTCTCTCTCTCACACACACACACACTTTCGAACATATATATATTTTCTACAATTTACGGCTACATTAAATCCATAATAATATTAATCCTTCTGACTATATTGCTTTCCATTCAGGAAAATTAATGGTGTTCTGAGATTGTCAACATGGAACCAACATCCATACTAAACGATCGCTTCACTGCTACTCCGCAGGTTACTATGAATTCGAAGGAGAAAAGCTTGACATTAGATTCCGCACAGACGAATCGACGAAGAAGATCGGCTTTTCTATTCTTGGAAAACAGGTGTCCTGTGACGACCTGCAGCCTGTCGAAGCTCCCTTCAACCAATCTTCTCCAAGCACAATCCTCGATAACCAATCACTTTCCTCGTCGTCAGACGCAAGTACCCAATCAACTGCCACTTTATCTTCATCTCTTACTCCAAGCTCTTTGAAGAACCAGTCTGAAATCGATATAAATTACCTCTTGTCAATCATTGGTCGGCAGCCCATACCATTTGATGAACCGGAAGCTGCGGGAACTGAGCCGGAAGCTGCGGGAACTGAGCCGGAAGCTGCGGGAACTGAGCCGGAAGCTGCGGGAACTGAGGCTTCAGAAGTGGACTTCACGGAGCTCGACCCTGGCCTCGTGACGGACAGTGAACAACCCACAAAGCTGAGTCAAAATATTCCTGGTAATCCTAATTTTAATCCTTTCACGGGCACTGGATTACAGCCCACTTTGCCTACCATACCTGGGAGTATCTCAACCGGTTTCCCAGTCACTGTCAACTTCCCGGCCACCAGCAGCTTCCCCACGACGATCTTCCCAATCGTGCGTACCAGCGACTGTGACCAAACACTGCAGGCGACCAGCTTCATCATCAACAGCCCCAACTATCCTTCTGCTTACCCTAACTCCAAAGACTGCTCCTTCTTCATCGGCAAGTCTTCATCAAACGTCTGTGGGGTAAGACGATACTTGATTTTTTAACCTTCTTTGATTTCCAGTCATTCCATCAGGCAGGTCTTCATCATCGAGGTTTTATTACTATTCTGTGCAGCTTGGAACACCATTGAACATTTCGTCGGGATTATCTCTTGATTAACAAACATAGCCACCCGTTATGCAGCCACAACCTGGGTCAGGTACAGTGTAACATGCTAATTCAGTGGTTATTTAATCACTCATGAACAATTATAAACTCGTGTTACGATGTTTTCTCAGTACAAATGATAGAGGGTTGACAGGTCTGAAAAAAAGTGTACTATCTTGGTCAGTTATGCTGCTGGTAGACACACATACTAGAGTAAAGCATTATGATGCATGTTATAAACACCATGAACCACAAAATACAAGAAGTCTGCTCACCAGCATCTCAGTCGCCAATTACACTTCTTAGCAGGCTAATGAGCTCGTTGGTAGTCTCTCGACCTTATTGATAGGTTTCTTATTGTATTGGAAGGTTATTTACCTTCTTAGAAGCTCTTGATCTTATTAGCAAGCTCCTCTCCATATTAGTTGGTCTGATACTGGGTTAGATTCCTGACTTATTACGCCTCTAACCCTGTTAAGTTCTTAATCATGTTGCTAACCTGTTGGTAGGAATCTGATCTTTTTGGCTAGCTCCTGACCATTTGAATTGGCAACACCCTGAAGGCAGGCTCATGACCTTGTTGGCAGATTCCTACCGTTTTAACAAGCTGCTCACTTGGTGAATCCGTGTCCTCAGCTGGAGGTGACCTTTGTTGACGTCGATTTGCCATCGAGGGACTCCATCACCGGTGACTGCACGGCCGACTACCTCGATATTGACGGCGCCAGGTTCTGTGGCACCATCCAAAATAACGTCCGTGAGTATGTGTTCCACTACTGGTCATCACGTACATGTATGCACGTCCTATTCGTCACGTTCATGTACCATCCCCCCCCTCCCCATGTATTCACCCCCAGGACTTGCGTACATCACGTACATCTATGCACGTCCTAATCGTCACGTTCTTGTAAATGCCCAAAGAACTGTTTTTCGCGTACTTGTTCGCATGTCGTGGCGCTAACGAACCCGTGACTGCCTCCACATTTGATAACTTTTGTACCGTCAAAAAATGTTCATTTTCTCGTCCCTAAAGATATTCGGGACTAAAGAAATGCTTGCTTAGAAAATCCGTAGGAACCGTGATTAGGATTCGAACCCGCACGCACTTGATACTCTCAAGCCTGCGCGGTCTAGGCCGTGGGCTTAAGGAGTACCAAGAATGCGGATTCGCAACCTCCTCATGGCTTCTACGGATTTTCTCCCGGATACATCACGTTAATGTGATTTCATTGTGCAAGTGCTAACTTCTATGACATGTAATTTAATGAATAAACAAAGATTCTGGTTATTGACATGTAATTTAATGAATAAACAAAGATTCTGGTTATTGACATGTAATTTAATGAATAAACAAAGATTCTGGTTATCATTCTCAATCGACTTGAGAATGGTCCAGGACGGACCGAAACGTCGTCGTCCCTTCAATTTCTAGTGTGTGGTCTGGTCAACATTCTGGTCGGAAAGTCGGCCTCCAGTAATTTGTTTTCTATTTATCTTATTTATGAGTTTCTTTTTTTCTATCTTATATCTGTTTATAAATAGCTGATATTTTTTTATTTTTGTATCTTATTTTTCTATCTAATATCTAAAGAGTTTTTCACTTTACTATATACAGCCCATCCTCCTGTGTTGAGTGTACTTATAGGAAGGATGAGGACCATAGTGCAACACAATTAGAAAATAGAAATCGGAACAATTGAATTTGGACAAACCGGAAAAAGATTTTCTAGTTACGTTGCAAAGACAAACTAAAACTAAGCTAACTTAACCTTCTTAGGCCTAATATTCACAATCTGAGGCCCAATATAGTACATATGTGTACTATACTAGGCCTAAGAATATTAGTTTTTATAAGCTTCATTTTTTTCAGACACTTATAAAGTGAATAGTACAAAATTAATTGCTTAGTACGTCAATATTTGTACTATTGTACACATTAGTTACAAGTACAGTATAATCAGGAAGATGGGTTGCTATATATCAAGGGTAATCAGATCATTTTCAGGTAATTGCGTCTTCATTATCTCTACTAATATACTTAGCTTTGTTTCATGATTGTATACATCTTTGTTATCTCCCTATCGGTCTGAATTATCATCAGATGAGAATTATCATTAAGATGAGAAACTAGCAAAAACTAGCCGCAAAGAGAAGTGCAGAGGTTAGCGTAGTGAGGTCACACTTACTAATGCCTAGTGTCCAGGAAAGAGAGAGCCTCGCAATTTATTGAACAGTAATTATGTTAGCTTTGCTGGCTGACCAGAAAAATGGCAGACAATTGGCATGGGACTATACTGGTGTATCACCCTGTCAGCCACATACATCAACCTCCCTGTCAGCGAAGCAGGAGCCGCGGCGACACACAGAGAAAGAGACAAGTCAACCAAGTACAGGGAAATAGATCACCGGTACAACTTTGTTCCAATATGATCTGAGACCCTAGGCCCATGGGGAGAGGGTGCAAGAAGGTTTCTTAAAGGTCTTGGTTCCAGGCTCATTGAAACTACAAGAGACCCTAGAGCGGCAAGTTTCTCTTCCAGCGTCTCAAGAGGGGGAAAGTGTCGCGATCCAGAGGGGAGATTCCCGCAGCATCCTCGGTTCCTGCCCGGCGTCGGAGGAGTTCGAAGAAATCTACAGCCTCTAGGAAACAAACTTCCCTTTATATCCTCTTAATGTCCAATTTTTGTAACTAATCAGATATGTAACTGTGTAACCTTGTATAATAAAGTGTACAACATCAATAATAAAGAAAGGGGTGATAGGAGACGTGAATACTCATACGTATTTAGAGTTAAATGGCAAGTTTTCTCTGAATGTTCTGCATTCCCTTTTTCGAGGCAATGGGTCCCTACAATTGCACCAGAGGTGGTACTCCTTTATGTATATAATATATAAAAAATGTATTTAGGACAATCTTTTTTTAAATGAATGTATGCATCATACCTACACTTCTATAAACAAGTAAAAAGGGGTGTTGAAAGCTTTAAGACTCGTCAAGACAGTGTGGGGGCAGCACGTTACAGGAGCTGGTCTTAATAAGAGCTTTACCTTGCAGTGACCTTCAACTTCACGAGCTCCACCATCGCCATCACCTTTCACTCGGACGCCTCCATCGTCGGCAGAGGCTTTCGGGTGAGGCTTCACGTCCATTTTCCTAACGTTGTACACTCTTGTAAACTTTGCCATGCACTCCTATGAAACGTTTTCATGCACACTTTTGTTTGCACTCATAACGATACGATAAATTTTGTAATGCATTCTCGCCAGGCACTGGCAAGAACTCTCGCTAAATCACTCAGCGTTGTCACTGTACTGAAAAAGTGTTTTCGCTCACCAAGCACCATGCAATTTTACCCAATATTGTCAACAGTGTCATGCATTGTGTCAGCTGCTGCTGTCAGTCGTTGTCAAGTACTTATAACACATTGTGTGACGTCATCAAGGGCTATTGTGAAGCGTCCCAAAAATGTTCTTCAGTGTGACAATAATATTTCAGAGATATGCTGAGTCAAGGAGCATAATTTTTAAAGCCAGGTGTTTTAATCACCATCACACTCACGCTTTACTCGCGAGCATACCCATGCCTTACTCAGCATCGTACCTGTGCCTTATTCACCATCACACTCATGCTTTACTCATCAGGTGTCGGGGAGGCAGGTGACTGAGTGTGGGGGTGCGGTGCCGGTAGGGTGTGACGTCACCACCCAGCTGTCGGAGTTCATAGTGACGAATCCAGGGTACCCGGGCACCTACCCGGCCTCCACGGACTGCAGAATCTCCGTCCTCCGCTCTTCGAACACCGTCACCAGGTGGGTGGTGGTGGCGTCACCAGGTGGTGACGATCCTCCCAACATCGTTTTCCTGGAGGACAGGTAGACCACCGTGTGTTGGAGTCTCTTACCTGCTTCTCGCAGTTTGAACACTCTTGAAATCCTCCCGGGTAGTTGTTCGGTGTCTCCTCTGCCCTCGGCCTGAATTACTACCAGTCTAGATGTCCACCTCGCAGGTCAGGCCGGGTCTTGCTGGAGTGACGAGCTGTGCGACTTTCATACAATGACCCAGAGCTTAGTGATGCCTGGATGACGCTCGTGCCTCAGGCGGCTACGTCACGTCAGAGCGTTCTCCCATTGGTCACGCCTCCGAGGCCCAGCCACTCACCATCTCTACATCCGGGAGACCCAGTGTCTTAACTTCCGATTTCCTCTCGGCGGGAACTGATCTTTCCTGGATCTGGTTGGATCAGCCATGTTGTCTCGTCAGGCTAGACTCCGTCTCTCCCCCTACCTAACTTGTAACTGAAATAACATAAAATCTGGCTTCTTGCTTCCTCTTAAGTGTTACCAAACAAAACTAAGAACTTCTAGACAATGTACAAGTTGGAGTATGGCTCTTATTAGGTGGGAGAGAAGCGTATCTTGCCGGAACACATAACTGACAACAACCATCCCCAGGAAACCTCCCCGGCACTGCCTGTCGACTGTATCTAACCTAACTAACTTCCCAAACTTGTCTTAGTAACAGTTTTAAGAATTGTCTCACAGTGAATTCCCCCATTCCATGACGGCTAAAATTCAGGTGTTGTCTCCTCTCGTGCCAACAGCCTGGTCCTGGAGTTGCTGTCGTTCGAGACGAGCGCGACGACCGGGTGTGTGGGAGACTACCTGGAAGTGGCTGGTCAGAGGCTCTGTGGCTCACTCACAGGCCAGACGCGTACGTTGATCCCCTTACAGTTCATCTTACAGTACAATTAATGCAATAGTAATAATAATTACTAGTTATAAACATCATAACGAACGTCTCCTACATGTTGTAAATCAAACTGAATTGAAATAACTTATCGAGGCTAAGACAATACATATTTTTAAAGGCATATACGACAGGGATAACGAGAGAATATTCACTGTGAAAATAGAACCTTCTATTCGCAACTCAAGCCAGTTTTCAATAACACCTTCAGTGTACTAGGCGACTGGCTCCTCAACCATCAGTTAGAATAACGCTCTCACAGGATAACACACAATTAGCCCAAACAACGAGCCGAAGACCAAGTTCAAGTATGTTTATTGAGATAAGAAAGAAATACATTTCAAAGGGATAGAGTAGCTTAGGCTATTTCTACCCCCCCCCCCTTGCCAAGGCACAAGATCAATCCCTCCTTATCTATCGCATTTTACCGCAGGGACTTTCACCTTCCTAAGCGATCCTCTGACCATCAACTTCCACTCTGACTCTACGACGGCCGTAAACGACATCGGGTACCAGGTACGAGTGACCCAGCGGACCGCCAGCAATCCAAGCGGGTGCGGTAGCTTCGTGACCACACCCACCGCCGCCCTTCAGTCCCCGCAGTACCCCTCCCAGTACCCGCCCAGCACTGACTGCCGCTACCTCGTCGTTAAGTCCTCCAGCGACGTGTGTCAGCTGCAGGTGAAGGTAAGAGACGAGGCTGGTGACGACAAGACTATAGTGAGGTCACCACATTATGATTTCATTAATTTTTCCTCATAATACTGACCCCGCATGGACTTTTTAAATTTGTCTTGGTACTTTAGTCAGCTCGTCTTATATTGAATATTTCCTGTTATATACATCGAGTACCAGGTTATAAACATCATAACTATTGAAGTTTAAAGCTATTTATAGCTTGATTAGCTATTTCTTTTATCAGTGATTATCAATTAGTATTATAAAACTATCCCCGGCTCTGATTCGCGGGCAGGACGAGACGTTTGAACATTGGTTCCTTACATCTGATATCTCTGTTAATCTATCGGTAAATAAGTACCTAGTCTGACTCCCCTGGCCGAACTTTAGCATCACACAATATACATAACCTGACGATAAATGATTGCATGTTCATAACTACCCGTTTAAAAAACATTCAGGTACATTATTCTAGGAAGTTACCGAGTGCAGAAGCCGTGGCGAAAACTGCACTCTGCGGCGCGAGATCACATACGGTGGCTAAGATATCGTTCTCCCTACAGATCCTAGACATGGAGATGGAGTCGAGCGCCGGGTGTGGCAATGACTACCTGCAGGTGGGCGGGCAGGAGCGGCTGTGTGGGAGCAGGTCCCCAGGAGAGATCCGTGAGTACCCGTACCTGGAGCATACCTTTAGCGGGGCTCTAGGGTTACATGTTCCCCCCTCGGCCCGCTCTGACCACGCCTCGCGGTTATCATTGTAATTTAGGACATCTAACATATCTGTTAACATTATATTTAGATTTATGATACCATGATATCTGAGCATGAAGGGCACATGATTCTTACTTGAACGAGCCTTTGTGAACAAGCCACATCACACACACACAATAAAATCACATTAACGTGATTTATCAATGAGAGAATCAGTTGGAGCTATAATAACGATTTGAACCTGGATACTTGGCACTGCCAATCACACGCCCTAGACGATTACAGCACGACATGGACATCCCAAGTTGCATTGCTTTTGATCATGTCGTGGTATTATGGTTTAGGGCGTGTGCTTGAGCGAACCAAGTGTGTGCTGGTTCGAATCCTCCTCATGACTCCTACTGATTTTCTCTTTGTGATATTAGTTTAGTAATTATTTGTCAAGATTACAACATTTCTGAGTAGGATTTAAAGAGACTATGTGAGGGAGTTTAATCCATTATCCTTAAATTCTCAGGCAAGTATCACTTCAGTGGCCTGTTCCTTGACCTCTTCTTCCATTCGGACGCGCTGGGATCAGGACGCGGGTTCAGCATCGAGGTCACCCAGATTACATGTGGACATTTCAAGCCCAACTACCCGACCTATCCAACATATAACCCTCATTATCCTCGCCCAAATCCCCACCCTCGTCCCTATCCCCACCACAGGCCCAACCCTCACTACCGCCCCAACCCTCACTACAACAACAATCGCAAGCCAGTGTTTATCAGGCCGGTTAGACCACTTCTGAAGCCGAAACTGAATCCTCGCTGGAAGTTTAATCCTTTTACACGCCCTCGATATTCCGGCCACTACACAAGTACTTCCTCTAACTCTTACACCGACGAGCCTTGCCATCCCGCTGCAACCTACGGCACCCCATCTACAAGTTATGGGGCCCCAACTGCAAGCTACGATCTAATAAGTGGAGAGTATTTGCCTCCTGATCCTGGACACACCACCCCCGGTCCCTTCATTCCTACGCTGCCCACTACCTCTAATCCAATCCCCACTCCTCAGCCCACCCTCCCCACTGCCATCCCAACTATTAACCCTACCTTGCCTACTGTTACCCCCGTTTTCTTTAGAATATTCCCCACCCCAGCCCCGGAATTCCTCCCTCAGCAATTCAACAATAGCAATAACAGACCCACAACGCCCCTTGACGTCGAGCAGATTTCGCCCACCTTCAGGGAGCGGGACCCCAAGGTGGTGCAAGGGTCCTCTGGTCCTGACGGCGCCAGATTCTGTCGCCAGGTTTTCGAAAGCGAAAAGTTCACCATCCAGAGTCCTGGTTACCCTGGCCCTTACTACCCTGGCATGCGCTGCCTTTACACCATCGTCAGGTAGGTCTTTATGTGTACTCAGCAGTTCTTAACAAAATTGGGGTAAATACGCGCAAATACGCATGTTATAATTATATTTATACCATGATTTATTATGTAAAAAATATGCACAAATACGCGCACACATGCTCACAAAATAATAATTTCACGTTACACTGCCATATAGTTTTTGCTCCTTGTTTCAATACAAAAAAATAAAGGATATTAAAGAACATATAAATTTTAAAATATATTTAAGCAGTTTTTTTCAGCTGTCGTACTTTTTTTTATATATTGTCAATCAGAAAGCAAAGCAAAATATCCGACTCTTGAATATACTCTCACAAAACAAACACCGATCTAATTACTGCTGGCCACGAGGTCACAACTCAGTCACGATAACATGGGAAGCTTCCTGTTATCACAGCTGGAAAACTAAATGTGTTACACATAACAAATAAAAACAAATTCCAAACGGTTTTTATTAGTAAAAATAATTTTCACCATCTCGATGACATTGATGACCCGATTGGTTTAATAAAGGCTTACCAAACAGAAATTATTTTGTAATGACATCAAAAAACGCATATTAAGGAAGACCAGGAGCTGGAGTTTGCATCAGTTCCACGCTGAAGAGAAATGAAGCAGTTGCATTACCTCAATAACATTCTTCAAAATATTAAAAAACATGTAAGAGATTCAAGAGTAATTGACATTATTTGACACACTCGTAACAATTTCTAACTTTGCTCAAAGCCACAAACCAGAGGCCAGATTCACGAAAGCACTTACGAACGTGTACATCTTTCATCAATCTTTGACGGCTTTGGTTATATTTATTAAACAGTTTACAAGCATGAAAACTTCCCATTCAACTGTTGTTATTGTTATAAACAGACTCCTGGGGCTTCGGAGCTCATTAACTGTTTAATAATTGGAAACAAAGCCGCCAAAGACTGAGAAAAGATGTACAGGTTCGTAAGTGCTTTCGTGAATCTAGCCCCAGATCTATAATTTCCAGGGCACAAAGCTTCATCAAGGTCTATTCAGTCTTGTATTATTTTATTCCGCTTGACAATACGATAAGCCGCGGGTCCCCCTAATTACCCAAAGCTACTCAAAGCTACCTAAAGCTTCCTAGCATTCCGTAAGTAATGAGGAAATATATCCATCTAATTATCCAAAGCCACAACATTGTCGCTTGGATCGTCGACTTCCCATGGCGTCACCCGCCATTTAGTTTCACCTAATTTCGCTATAAAATTATATTATTTCAGAGTAAATGTATGTTTTTTCATGTTCTATATTCAGCACCAACATTATAGTGAGTAAATATATATTTCTTCATTGCTTACGTAATGCTAGGAAGCTTTGGGTAATTAGACTGACCGCTGTCGGATGCCTTTTCACGATAGACAGTCTTAAGAGGCTCCAGTTATCCATCAGTTCTAGAGCACACGTTCTAAACCAGTATTATGTATATTTCATATTTTACATTAGTCAAGCTAACCAAAATTTCTGAGATTATGAATATATGATAAAAAAACGAGGGATCAGGGAAACCCGAAAAAATGGTTACAGCACGTAAACAAAAATTCGGCTCCTGCCCAGAATGTCACACAGCATCCCAACTAGAGCCAAAATACCCAAAGTTTACATCTAAATTTAGAAATATTCGCGTTTTGAGCCTGTCCTTACCCCTACTTGACATTAGCAGAGAGTTCAACTATATGAGGCGACTCTGAGGATTAAGTTCAGGTAAATTTTGAAAGGGGAGAGGAAGGCCTCAGCTCTCAAGTTAGACTGGTTAGTGCAGCGACTGGACAGGTCAGTGCTCGATCCCGGATGGTTCATGTGGATGAGCACAGTTACTACACTCTGAGCTCCTAAACTGTCCTCATAGCCATTTCAAGACCTATAGTTATGCTGGGTTAACGATTTATCTTGATAATTACTTTACCTCAAGTTCAATCCATCCTGTACAAAAATAAGGTTAAAATAATTGTTCGTAATAATTTCTTTAAAGGTTTACAAGTTTGTTTCCGCCCGGTACGAACTCTAGGAAGAATCTTTTTAACCCAGACTCTGTCTTTATAAAAAAAAAATGAGGCTTAGGAGCCTAAATTAACGGTTGCTCCCATCTGCAGGAGGAGTTCGGATGTGTGTGGAGTGGAGCTGCTCACTGACCAGTTCGATGTAGAGGAGACAGCCGGGTGCTCTGAGGCCAGCCTGGTGCTCGCCGGCCGCCGGTACTGTGGGACCATCCCTCCTGGCTCACACAGTCAGTAACACTCCTCTAGTTATCTAGAAACGTAGACGATGTTTGTTTGTTTAAGTTTTGAATCTATTAAGATTATTTTATTTCTTAAAAATTTTTTTTCAACGTTTCAGGACATAATCGAAAATTATAATTGAGAAAATCCACAGAAGCCGTGATGAGGATTCGAACCTATGCGTTGGGTGTTCAAAGATGCATACTCTAGATGACACCGCCACAACATGGTCAAAAAGTAGTTGCAAGTTGGGGTACTATTACTGCACTCTCCAGGATTCCCGAGGCTTCCACTGAAGTCGAAGCAGGAGTTTCACACAATTGCCCCGTGCACTAAGGCTCTCTGGAATCCTCGCAGTAGTATCCCAGTTGCAATTCTTTTAACCATGTCATGGCATAGTCGTCTAGAGCGTGCCTCTGGGAATACTCAGGCTCGAACCCTGATCAAGGCTTCTGTGGATTTTTTCCTTGATATATCACGATAATATGATTTCTTTGTGTATAATGTTAATTATTATTAATATAAATTTGTTTCCCCCCACCAATTTATTATATTTTTATAGAGTTTTATCACTGTAGTCTGTGTAATCATTTCTTATGTTGCTAAGTCAACAAGTGAAAATACATTACTCACAACGAATAGTAGATTTATGAGATCAATGTATTATTACGTAATATAATGATATAAAAGGGGCAACTAGGTGATATATGTGCAGGTGGCCCAAACAGGTATGGCTAAAAACAGAAACAGATAGTTGCAAGAACCCGCTATAACTGAATAGTCAAAGTCACTGCCACACTGCAGGATTTTCATTTAGTTGAAATCAGCTTTGGATAAACATGATATATAGCGGGGGTAGAAATAGCCTAAGACACTCTATCACTTTGAGATGTATTTTATTGTCTCAATAAACGTACTTGAATTGAACATGATATAACTGGTTCACAGATCTGTGTCCAGTTTTTCTTTATCTACCGCAAGCTCATGCATAGTGGTATGCACATTTCTTTCTTTTCCTACCATCCTCCTTCTGTTAAGAAAGGTGCTCTCGTCTCTTTCTCCGCGCGCTACGCATCAATGACCGTCAGTTTCTCGATTCTGAAATTTCCTTTATTTACAAATCTTTCTCTCGCCTTTGTTACTTGCAAGGGAGGGGAGGCAAGCGGGGGAAGGGGAAAGGAACTATGGTCTGCACATACCATTATACTGCCTTCCCTTCATATCTAAACTAAAAACTCATACTAATACCTTTCGTCCTCTTGACATAAAGCCCTTTCGACAAACTGACACACTTCATAGTAACCTGGTTCACACTCACACACAGAGATCACACTAACGTGATGCATCAAATGAACAAATCCACAAGGGCAGTGACGAGGATTCAAGGGCAGTTTCGAATCCTCGTCATTGCCCTTGTGGATTTGTTCACTGGTTCACACTGCTCCTCCTGCTACTAATGCTGCTGGTGTCTACTTCCTGTTCGTCTTGTCCTCTCCAATACTTTGGGGAAATTGGCCGTACAGTAAATGACAGACTTAAGGAAGCCAAAATATGCATTAAGTCTGCAGACACAAACAATGCTCGTTTGTCATGTTAGGGACTCTAATCCTCCTATTGATCGGTCTTCTTCTAAAACAATCTTTCCTGCCTCTACTCTTCACAGACGCCGTCATGTCGACTCGGTTCTGATACACAACCTTCCCAACATGAACCTCAGTCCTGGTTTTGTTGCTGTTGACTCTTCCCTTTCACAGTATATACTTAAGTGCTCTGACCTTTTTAACAAACGTGACCTGACTTAAGCCTAAAATCGACCCCCCCCCCTTTTATTTGTCTTACCCTCTTCTTATTCTAACCTTATCCATTCTTCCTTCATCCCATTTTTACACTCATCTCATTCGTACCTTTCATCCTAATTTTACCTTTCGCCTTACTCATACCTTCTAGGAATTACCTTCTTCTCTTACCTGCTCCTCATCTCACTCTTTTCTTATTCATTGCCTGTACTTTGCTCTCTCTCTCTCTGTCAAGCAACTAACGACCTTAGAAGAGTTTAAGAGCCCCAGAATCTTGCAGTAACCACCCTGAAGCCATCAACACTGCCACTCTTCTGGTCAAACAAGGTGTCCAGCAACTGGACACGCTCATAAACACTGTCAAGCAGTATCCTCCCCCGCGATAGCAGCCTGACGATTTAAATGCGACCTCAGCACACAGTATATATTCACTAAAAATAAAAAATAAAATCTACCATTTATGGGCTGTTCATGCCCGTGCCACCTCCCTGTGGCTTAATCATCCTCAATCTCTTTCTCTGGAGAGACACTTCAAGATGTCATGCGACCAAAAACCACATTCACTCCAAACATCTACCACCTACGGGCTATTCATGCCCGTGCCACCTTTTATGGTGGCTTAATCTTCATCAATCTCTCGCACTCTTACGGGCTCACTATAGCCCGTGCTACATGGAAACAAAATTCCGAGTAGTTGAATCTAAAAACAACCTCATTTCTCTCTTACATACGACTTAATAATGGTCCAAGACGGACCAAAACGTCTCGTTTATTCATCTTCTGATATTTGATTTGGTTATCATGATAGACATAAGACGAGGTAGAACATCGCCCGAATGAATTCCACAGCACGTAAGGTTGATGTGGCTTTTCTTAAAGTGGAGCAGGCGTGGAAGGTCGCTTTTCTTCAGGTGGTGCGAACACCCTGATGGTGATTCGACACGTGATTTTAAGTACATATGTAACTTGAGACCCGGAAGTACTAACGATTTTCAGTGATATGGGAGGTGTGTCGCTGGAGGACAGGGGTGTATCAGGCGCGGGATAGTTATGCCATGTCATTCATCTTGCGCCTCATCCCTTCTTCCTCACAGGCGTGGTGCCCTATCCCAAGGACGGGATCATCACTATGGAGTTCGTCACTGGTCGCTTCCTCACCGGCGCTGGCTTCAGCATCCAGGGCCGCCAGATCCTCTGCTCTGAAGGTTCACCCTTTACACACACGGCGCCGGTGATTACAAGCTCTGGAGCAGTGCGCCATCAGGACCCCAAAGGAGAGGGGAGGTTGGAGAGACCGTTGATAAGATTTTCGGACGGGTACGAAGAGGCCGAGTGGGTGGAGAAGTTGGCGGGAGAGGGAGATTCCATCTTGCCAGTGTTGGATCCAGGGGTTGGCAATTTTCATACACACACGGACACACGCAATTGGAATCCCACTCCTGTCTGATACACTGAGGGAGTACACACACTTCATATGTCTGAGATCTTTGCGGCGAGGACTCTGTGGTGAAGATCAATTGAGAAACTGTAGAAGCTGCAACTGATAAAGCTCGCGTTAAGAGAACTTTATCACAAGATTCCTGATGTCTCTATTGCAAAGAATTTAGCTTTAAGTTTATATAAATTATACAAAATGAAATGTGCCAAGCTGCGTCAATTACTGAATAAATATTTGCGCTCATAACTTATATTTATAATGCAGGTGTTGGTAACATCTTATGTTTATAATGCAGGTGTTGGTAACATCTTATGTTTATAATGCAGGTGTTGGTAACATCTTATGTTTATAATGCAGGTGTTGGTAACATCTTATGTTTATAATGCAGGTTATTGTTAACATCTTGTTAGCAAGACTTAAGTGGATGGTTCTGACGAGATCATGCTAGATCCTTGAGATTTAACAAAGAGGCTGACTGAGTTCGTCTCTCTCTCTCTTCACTCTACCTTGCTTTTATTTTACCTTCTCCATTTTTTTCTACTCTTTCCCTTCCCATTACAACTCTCTTCCTGAAGGCAAGGTGCTCTCACTATAGAGTTTGAGCTATTTCACTTGCCTTTTCTCGCTCGCTCCGAAGGTATGTATAAGTTATGGCTATCAATCACTTATACCAATTTAATAAGTATTTTTATTAGTTAAGACTAAACCATTTATACATAAAGAGATCGATACGGTGCCAAATGAAGCAAAACAAAGGCAATTTAAGTATTTTGTTGTTGTAGTTAGTATGATCTGTTTTATGCATTAAAAATACAAACATATTTGCTACTTTATTCAACACGTGTTTACATGTGTCTGTCACACAGTGATACACACACACACACACATGGCAATGGTTTATGCAAATGTGTTTAATAACTGACGGCGACAAATTTTGAGGAATCTGTAGGTAAACATTTATATATGAGTGTAAATCATGAAAATTAACACGTGATGAAAAATGTGACAGTGTCTGACCACGGAGGTAGAATTGAAACTGGAATTTCCTTAAGTACTTTCGTATATTAATACATCTTCAGAAGGAATCATATTTATATATGAGTGATGGTGACTGCTGCTCCAATATGGTGAAATGATGTGTCGAGGGAGTGGCGAGATGTACTGCTGTATTACGGTGTGCTACGGTGCGTGTTGATATTTGACAACAGATTACAGCACATAGTTTTAAGTCATTCAAAATTTATGATCAATACCAAATGCAATGATTTCAGTTGTTGTTTTTACAGTGTTTTAGTGACAGTGAAGTCAAAATCACATGAGGTCATCTTGTTTACTGAGAGCGAGAGCCTCTGGTTGAGGTGTGGTTACTTGCTGGACCTTTCACTGCCGCCGCCCGAAATTTCTTTGGTCGGACATTCAGTGATGTGTTGTTTATGTGTCAGTAGTCGAGAAGTGTCCCATGTTGGAGAGAATGTTGTCTGCGGTGTTTACCTTGCACACAACACAAGCAAACATAGGCTAATATTAAGCAAGTTATGTAGTTGATTCTCCATAAATAACCAAAGTGTGGAGGTGAAATATGGATAATTTAGGGGAAGGCAACAAAGGTGATGATGGGATATGAAGCTTAAAAATGTCCAGAGGCAAAAAGAAAGCTCATACAATATAAAAAAAATATCTATACAAAATTATTTAAATTAAACAGTTGTTTAACAGTGTTTGGAGACCAAGATATAGACAAGACGTGATGGAAGAGTTACCGGGAGCAAAGTATTGAAGTAAACAAAATAACGCTAAGAAGACCTACGAAGCTCAAACAATAAAACGGTCGCAAAAGGAAGAACAAATATTAACAGGCGAAGTAATTATTATAGAAAACATATAAACACAAGTCTGAATTACCGTAGCGAGTCTGTTGACCTATTTTAGGCAGTGCCTATCTAAATCCCCCCCCCCCACCCAGGTGTCTAACAGGCCTATTTTTAAAGCTAGTCATACCATTCAAATCCAGGGATCCCATCACAATGGTTGTACTCTTCAAGTCACTTGTGTTGTCCCGTCTTGAGTACTGCTCAGTACTCACTTCCCCCTTCAGAGCAGGAGAGATTGCTGAAATAGAGGGAATACAGAGAACATATACGGCACGCATAGACGCAATAAAGCACCTAAATTATTGGGATCGTCTCAAAGCCCTCCAAATGTACTCACTAGAAAGAAGACGAGAGAGATATCAAATAATATACACCTGGAAGATACTGGAGGGCCAAGTACCAAATCTACACAGTAAAATAACAACGTACTGGAGTGAACGACATGGAAGAAAATGTAGAATAGAACCAGTGAAGAGCAGAGGTGCCATAGGCACAATCAGAGAACACTGTATAAACATCAGAGGTCCCCGGTTGTTCAACGTCCTTCCAGCAAGCATAAGAAATATTGCCGGAACAACCGTGGACATTTTCAAGAGGAAAGTAGATTTATTCCTCCAAGGAGTGCCGGACCAACCGGGCTGTGGTGGGTATGTGGGCTTGCGGGCCGCTCCAAGCAACAGCCTGGTGGACCAAACTCTCACAAGTCGAGCCTGGCCTCGGGCCGGGCTTGGGGAGTAGAAGAACTCCCAGAACCCCATCAACCAGGTATCAACCAGGTATTGATATTAGCAAGCTTACAGCCATTGTATGGGTTTGGACCTGGTATTATAGTTTAAAGACCTTGTTCATATATTCCCTGTTGATACTTGTCATCCTTATTAAGTCCTCGATTATGTCTCTGCGCGTCTTCTGCTTCTCCAAGTAATGGAGGCTGAGCTCCCTTAAACTCTCCTCACACAGAAGGTTCATAACACTAGGAATCAGTCTAGTTATCCTACGTCCGTGACTCTCACAAGTCAAGCCTGGCCTCGGGCCGGGCTTGGGGAGTAGAAGAACTCCCAGAACCCCATCAAGCCTGGCCTCGGGCCGGGCTTGGGGAGTAGAAGAACTCCCAGAACCCCATCAAGCCCGGCCCGAGAAGAACTCCCAGAACCCCATCAACCAGGTTAACCTCCTGTTTTGGTATTGCTTATAGTAACAATGAGGACTATAGTATATATACCGACGTACAACGAAATTAGAAAGTAGAAATCTGAACTATTGAGTTGGACAAACCGAAAAACTATTTTTTAATTGTGTTGCTTTGACAAACTAAACCTAATCTTCCTAGGTCTAATACACGATATCTGAGGCCTGAAATAGTACATATGTGTGCTATACTAGGCCTAGGAATATTTAAGTTTGTGTTTGTATCTGAGAAGCAACGCGAATTTAGAGAGAACAAGCCGCGTCTGACGTATCTTGACAGTGTTCTACGACATGTCGAATAACGTATAACAGAAAAGAGACAGCAACACCGCCCATGGAAGGCTCGTATTTAAGTTGGAGAAGTGAGCTGGAATGTCTAGATATAACGTATAACAGAAAAGAGACAGCAACACCGCCCATGGAAGGCTCGTATTTAAGTTGGAGAAGTGAACTGGAATGTCTAGATATAACGTATAACAGAAAAGAGACAGCAACACCGCCCATGGAAGGCTCGTATTTAAGTTGGAGAAGTGAGCTGGAATGTCTAGATAGCTAGTGGGAAGATTGCTAAGTTGACTTTTAAAAAAGAAAAAGAGAAATCCTTTTAGATCGTTTTAGATCCTTAGACGAAGGATCTAAGTGGAAATGAGTGAAGTACCAGAAGGGTCAGTAATAGGGACTATCCTGTTCCTAATATACATCAATGACCTGACACCGGAAATAGGTTCCAAGTGTCAAAGTATAGGTTCCAAGGGTTAAAGTATAGGTTCCAAGTGTCAAAGTATAGGTTCCAAGGGTTAAAGTATAGGTTCCAAGGGTTAAAGTATAGGTTCCAAAGGTCAAAGTATAGGTTCCAAGGGTCAAAGTATAGGTTCCAAAGGTCAAAGTATAGGTTCCAAAGGTCAAAGTATAGGTTCCAAAGGTCAAAGTATAGGTTCCAAAGGTCAAAGTATAGGTTCCAAAGGTCAAAGTATAGGTTCCAAAGGTCAAAGTATAGGTTCCAAAGGTCAAAGTATAGGTTCCAAAGGTCAAAGTATAGGTTCCAAAGGTCAAAGTATAGGTTCCAAGTGTCAAAGGGATAATGACAAAAAACGATAAGAATGAGAACAGAAGAGGAATTTGATGCACTGCAAAATGAACTAAACAGAATACAAAAAGCGGTCTGATGAATGGCAACTGGAATTTCCTTGAGGTAAAGTTATGATGGTAGGAACTAGAGAAACAATCCATCAGCGTAGGCAGCTTCCTGCTTCAAACAAGAAGAAACACTTCGAAAAGAACCTTTTTTTTTGAGATATTTTTTTTTTTTTTTTTTGAGATATATACAAGAGTTGTTACATTCTTGTACAGCCACTAGTACGCGTAGCGTTTCGGGCAGGTCCCTGGAATACGATCCCCGCCGCGAAGAATCGTTTTTTCATCCAAGTACACATTTTACTGTTGCGTTAAACAGAGGCTACAGTTAAGGAATTGCGCCCAGTAAATCCTCCCCGGCCAGGATACGAACCCATGACATAGCGCTCGCGGAACGCCAGGCGAGTGTCTTACCACTACACCACGGAGACTGTGAACCTCACTCCATATGCAATGCCAAATTTACACATCAGCAGAATAACATCGGCGGCATATGCAATACTGGACAATGGCCGGAGAGCCTTCAGGAACTCTAACGAAAGAGCTGTGGCTAATATTATACAATGTGAGACACTCTTCTGAGTATGCAGCCGCGGCATGACACCCTCGCCTGAAAAAAAAATAAGACTAGAAAATGAGCAAAGCTACGGGGGTGAGTGGTATGCCTAACCTCAGGACACTGAGTTACGAAAACTTAAACTGGATTTCACCACTGGAGAAAAAAAGAAGAAGAGCTGTAGCAGATGATCGATAAAGAAGGTTTCAAGGGAAATTTATTAAGCAGACAAAGAAGCAGTGTGTTAAAAGTGAGGAACAAAAGGTGATATAAAGGGTGTACACAAATTATTCGCCCCATTATATGCCTTAGTAAATTCATTATTATAGAAGCGAGCTTAAACGGTTTGCGGTAATTAATAACGCTAAACGTTTGTGTTTTAAGTCAATAGACTATCACAGTTCAATCCATATATCAGTAAGTCAGAATAATTTATTAAGACTCATCATGGGGTGAATCACTTTTAAACACACCTGGAGATGAGATGGGGGCCAGAGAGACACAAATTTATTGTAAATAAAGGGATATGTCAGGTGAAAAAGATGTCGAAGCTAACTATATACGTAATTGTATGTGAAAATATGTTACAATAAAAAAGCTTGCATTAATTCACTCTTGCACACCCTTCCCGCCAAACACACACCGAAACTACGACGTTGGTACAACGTTCGAACAAGTTTTAACACTTCCTAACCAGTTATAACAACCAATATATCAAGTTGTAACAACGTTCTAATACGTCATAAACACATTAAGCCAAGATGTAACAACTTTATTACAAGTTGTAACAAGCGGAAAATAGAGATAGTTTCGGTTTGTGTTTCCAGGGCTTCTGCGTCCTCCAGAAAACCTCTCGGCAGGCAACGGTGTTGCCCTGGTCCAGCCTCTGTCACTTGTACCTGAGGTAAAGTACATACATACACAGTGAGTTTACAATAAATATCCCCACAAACAAGCTTCCTAGTAAAACATTACTCGTAAAATATTATCTATCGTAAAACTGATTAGAAAGATAGAGGCTCACGGTATTGGGGGTTCTATCTTAAGTTGAATAAGGGCATGGTTATATCAA